CTTTATATTTTAGTGTACACTATAAGGCTGGGGTGGAGGGAACATATAGGCTTCATGTATTCCAAGACTGTGTCCTCCGAAGGTCTTAATTATGCTTTGGTTCCAYCCCAGCAGAGCTAGGAGATAAAAAACAGAAGGACCTTAGGAAGGAGGATTAGCCAAATATTGGTAGTTAGGATCCTTAATTAACTGAATTCATTTTTCTGAGCTCTACTCCTYTGAGAAAGACAGTAAAATAGATGTAAATTTAATACTTTCTAATGAAAGCAGCCTGTTTGATGAATACTCTCATTAATGAAGGCAATATATTCTACTGCTAAATTTTTACTTTAAAAATTTGTATACTTTTTAAATATAAACTTGTAAATAAAATTATAACCTTTAATTTTCCCCCAGAATACAGTCTTTCTCCCTCTTTTACTTCTTTTGGCTTGGCTCCTCCCTCCTGTCACCTCCATTACACTCACATCCATGCCCATCTTGTCTATCAGTAATCCTAGTGACTACGTAATAGATGTGCTTCTATATTTTACTTGAAAACACACACACACAGGATTTTAATTTTTCTTTGGAATATATTGCTAAAAGGAGGATTGCTGGATCACAAGGATAATATGTATGTGTATACACACATACATATACTTTTTAAAAAGAAGAGTTGCAGCTAGATCTTGCTTTTAATATGTCAAGTGGCCTTGAGCATTCTCCTTTTCTCCCTGGACTTCATTTTCTCCCTCAGGCATATGGGATTACAGATGACCTTGAACACCCTTTTCAGACTGTTCCAAACTTCTCTGCGTCTGCGCAGTGCCCACTGYTCTGTGTTCTGCAGTGAAGTGGGAATTGTCACTACTGCTGACTCAGGAGCAAGCGTCCTGCTGTCTGAGTCTGGAGATTTTTGGACGTACAGTTTGCACACAAATGAGCTCCTCAGTGGAAGCCCTGATTTCCAAGTATGGACTCTTCTGAAATGCTCTGGTGAAGGAAGATTGCCTTGATTCATTTGTCTCCTCAGCGTGGGGGTCTGGATGAGAACTGGACAGTGAGGCTGAGTACAGAGCTCCAAGCTTCTGCTATTTATGTTGAGATTAACATTGATTTAAACAAAAGGTGCTTCAGGGAACACTCAGTGGCTTCTGTGTTTGAGCAATTTTCCAGGATGCTCATAATTTTTTTTAAATAAAAGTGATACTTGATTGAGCAACAAGACCACTGAATAAGGAATGAAAAATGATGCAGCATGATTACCTATTTTATGAGGCTTTCTGTTTTGAGCATGTCTACCCATATTAAGCCTTCTGGGATGGGGTGGGGGGGACACTGCTTTATTTGCTAAATTCTTGGGGCTTCAAACATATGATTTATCTAGACTAAATAATGACAACAGCTTATTAAAAGCACACCAGGGAGACAGTCTCAATCTAGGCCCTTCATTTCATTCTCTCAATTAATCCTCAAGCCCCACCTCCAAGGTACTTAATTCTTATTATCAACATTTTACTGATCAGGAATTCCCTTCAAGGTTACAAAGCCAGGAGGTGGTGCACTCTCTCTGCAGAACCCACATTCTTAACACAGAACAATGCTGCAGTGGAACTGGGCAGTAGTAGACAAGTGGGACAAAATTGCTGCATGGTTCTGGACTACCAGTAAGGTCACCTGAAACCCACACTGAGTTCTCACATCCATCTTCTGTAGAAGTTTTAGGCGATAACAACTCCCTCATGAGAACTGCCTGAACAGACACCCACTTGCATCACAGTTCACATGTTGAAGGATGGTCAGGACCAGGATCAAATCTTAGCTCTGACTGTTGACCCTGGGCAATTTTCCTGGCCTCTCTGTGGAAATGCACTAGCAGCTGTTTCTTGCATGCTGCCCTGAGGACTTGAGGAGGCCGGTGCCACAAGCGCCCAGGGCAGGCACTCGCTGCAAAACATCTTGTCCTTTCCTCCTCTTTCCTTTTCCTGGGAGAAGGAAGGCAGCGATCTGCTTGCAGTAGGCCGTCCTCCGGGCCCTCTCCTACCGGGTTTCCAGGTTGCCTTTAGTGTCTGGCACAAACACCAGCGTCTAGGCTCTTGCCTGACGGCCTTTTTTCTTTCAGCTACCCCATACCGCCGGGTGAACGCGGGTTTTCACAAATTGCTATTTATTTGCTTATCAGCAAGAAAGGGTGGGGGGGGGAACAAAGTGATCAAGGACAAAATCAATTACTATTTTTCATCTTTGACAAAGTAATTAAGGCCGTAGTGACTAATTCCGACCCAATGGTTGCGCGGTGATGGAGGTGATGGATGCGGATTTACAGCCTCCTTGGCTGCAGCGCGCAGGGCCCAGGATTATCACTCCAAACAGGCGGCTGCGGAGGGCGGGGGCTGAGGCCCGAGTGGAGAGGACGTGAACCTTTTCTTCCCTGCCTCCCCCCGCTTATTTATTAATTAAACACCGCAGCTCCATCCTCTGAGCTGCGGAGGCTCTGACATACAACCCGACGCAGGACAAGCTGTCCCAGGCTGGCTTTTTGCCTCCCTACACTCTTTCTCGCCTTCTTACCCCAACTCTCTATCTCTACTGGTGCTGGTCACCCCACTCCCGCGTTGGCCTCAGAGCGACCTCTCTAGACCTCTTAGCTCCTAACGCTCCCTCTACACTCCATGCAGCCCTTCCTTTCTAGAATCTTGCGGCTGAAAGTGTGAGAGTGTGGTGGTGGTGGTAGTAGTGGCCAGGCGGCGGCGGCGCAGAGTGGGGTGGGGGGCGTGTGTGGCGAGTCCAAGCAGCACCTCCACCAACCCCCACCGCAGCCTTTCCGGCACGTCACCAGCCTCTGCAGGGCCTGACGTGCAGCGGCCCCACGCTGGAACCCAAGTGCGCATTTGGCCCGGGAGGGCCAGAAGGAGACACGTCAGGCCTCGTGACTGAGCKGGGGCGCCGAGTGCCCAGGGCCGCAACTGGGGGAGGTGAGCAGGCCCGCGCGACGGTTGTACTTCTGTTCAGTACTCTTCCTTCCCACGCGTTCCCCCGCCCCACTCCCAGCCAGGCACATCCGTGCGCCCCGGAACGTCCGGGTGCCAAGTGAACATTCCATTTGCGCTTGGTCCTTTGAGGGGGGTTGCTCAGATGCAAGCTTGGAGACTGGCCAGAACCTTTCAAAGTCGTGACTATTCCTTGTGGAAGTCGGCCCAGGCACGGAAAAAGGACGGCCTCCATTGAACTAGGGGAGAGCCTCGTGGCTCAACTTGGGGCTGAGCATTCCACAGAAGCCAGGGCCTGCCAGGCCTGCCCTATCCAGTTGTCGAATTCGGGTCTTGTTCCTTTTTTGGAAACTGGGGTCTGTTCAGAAGAAGCTCCCCACAAGTTCCCCTTGTGTTTGCCAGAGCAAACCAGGCCGGAAGTATTCGCCCCTGCGGGATTCTCACCCCAGTGGGCTACCTGAGCCTTCTGCAGCCAGTCCACCACAGCGCCACTCCTAGCCTCTCATCCCTCCTCCCGAGCTCTCCAGGTTTCCCTCTGAGTAAACCCGGGAAAGATCAGGACTGGCCTCAGCAACTGCCCCGCGCAAGATGCTTAGGGGTTTATCTGGGGAGCGAGCCTCCATTTTTCCAATTTTAAAGTTGGGATAGTTTCTCAAGGATTGTTGCCAAGATTAAACGCGATAATCTCATGAAAAGCCCTTGCACAACGGTTTAATATTGAGATCTCAATAAATGTCAACTCGAAACTACAATAAAAAGAGGCCCGAAACCGGCAAGGAGACCCGAAAGGAAGGTCTCTTCAGGAATCCCCCCCGCCCCCCCCACATCGCGAGCCCCCAGTAGTGCAGATTGTAAGTCCCCAGGTGGCTGCCCTCGGGAGGGGCCCGGCGGGAGGACGAGCGCACAGAGGCGTCCAGCACAGCCGTCCTGGGAAGGTTAGGGAGGAGGAAGGAGCGGGCTCCACAGTGCCCCAGGCGCCCGCCGCAATCTGCCGCCGCAGCCTCCGCCGCCGGCCGCAGCCTCTTTGTCCTCCCGCGGTGTGGAGACTGCGCAGCCGAGTGAGACGGTGCGGACCCTGAGGCAGTGGACCCGGCTGCGGGCTGCAGGGAAGGGGCAAAGTGCTTTCCGTAGCTCTCATTCCCGAGGCCAGGGGTTCCTCCAGCTAGAGTGGCAAGAAAAAAAGGATAGGAACGTATTTTTGCTGCGAATCCCCTTCTATAGTCTCCAACCGACATCTTTTTTTGTAAAGGTATTTTCCCTTTTAGGGAGTATAGCCATTGCTTTGTACCAACAGGAAAGTCCATAGTCAATCTTTTAATTGTCAAGGCCACCCCCAATCCCCGCCGCAGTATGGTTGAACGTCTGCCTGATGGCTTCCCAAAAGGCCAACCTTGACCTCGTTGCTTGGAATCTTGATGTGGGGGGATTTCAAATTAGGCCTCTTTGTGGGGTTTCATTAAAAGGGCTATGAAGAAAGTGAGTTTCCTTTGCATTTCAAAGGGGCCTGAGAACCAAGTCAGTGTTGGAAATAATTTCCTTCTTATTTCTCTAAAATGTTTTTTTGAAGAGCTAAAACTTACAATGAAAACATTCGATGATACACATGATTTTTCTCTTGGTCTAAATTTTTAAGCAAAAACCTAGGATTCCCCCAAGACTGATTGGGAAAGAGGGATGTGAAAATCTGAAGTCAGGCAAAGTAGGTACACCCTTGAGCATGCAGGACCCATGCATGTACCGGCCGTTGCAGAGCTGTGGGGCTACGTTCAGACAGACCCTCGGCCGCTTCCGGCATAGTATTTTGGAATCCGCTGAAGTCTTGGGAAATAGCAATGGAATTTAGTGGAAAACGGTAGTCATTTAACCCCCTCCCCGTTCTCAGTGAGACAGCCCAATCCACTCTGTCCGCGGCTGCGCCTCGCCTTGGGTGCAGTGGGACGTGTCCCTCCCATGTTTCCCTTAATTAGGAGGCAAACTTTTGTCGTCCCCTCCCACCCGCTTTGGTTTAGTAATCAGACCCACATGAGTCACGCCAAACACGCAGCCCCCTCCTGCCCAAGTGACAACTGGCCAGCATACTGTGGGCTGTTGTCCCTTTAAAACTCGAATCCAAAGGGGCAATGATTTATCAAACTTGTATTATCAAGAAGATGTCAACGGAAGGGCACCTTGCTATGCACTGACGCAAACCCGGCCTTTCCCACCGAGATATAGAAAGCGCCTCTCCTACCCGAGCCAAACCCAGTCCTACTAAATAGCGGGTTTCACTCTACCGGTTCAATCTGTTGCCTGTGTCAGATACGGTGAGTGTTTGCTTTTTGTTTGTTTGTTTAAGAGGAAAGGGGGTTAAGGTATTCGGCAGGTTCATTTAGGATATTTCTTTTCGAAATGTCTGTGCATTGGGCCAGAGGGAGCGAGGAAAACAATTTTCGCCCTAAGTACTCTATTTGTACTTAAAGAGCATCACCTGAGGTTAGAAAGAAGCTTCCTAGGCTGTAGACCTGAGGGGTCGGCGGCTCCCCAGGACAGGATTCCGGGCACTGTCCTCGGTGCTGAAAAGTCAGATGCCGGTACACGGGAGAATCGCTGTGGGTCCTAGAGGTTTTCAGATACGAAGGATGGCTGAAGTTGTTCTTAGATTTGGTGCAAATTAAGGAGTTCTGATCTGTGATTGTGTAAAAGGGGGTTAGATGAGAGGCACGCGGTTGAGGGGATGATTAGTTTTTCAGTATAATAAGTATTATTGTTAATGTGTAGGAAGCCCTGAGAGATAACATGAGGGGAGAAAACTGATGGAAAACCCTCCGCTGGCCAKTCTTTTTATTTGAAATTCAATTAGAAGGAAGCAAATGAAAATTATTCACGAGTTTTGGTCCTGAGTCAAGCGGGAAGGTGTGTGTGTGTGGGGGGGGGGGTGGAGTGCAGCTAAAAAGAAAAAATACAAAACTTTGCAGGTTCTTCTACGTTTCTGGTAATCTGTAAGTGAATGTAGGTTGTGAAAGATAACAATTCAATTACTAATTTGTGTTTTAAGTCTGGCTTATTGCTTTTTTGTTTGTTATTCTGATCTTGATCTTTATCTTTGCCTTTGCTACCTGGTGGGCGGGGGTGGGTTTGGAGCACTGGGCTTCGTGAAACTGACGTGGCCTCAAGCCTTGGCTGGTGCCAGGGCATCAGCTTTGTGGTCACAGCTTGTCTATCGAAAAAAAAAAAAAAAAAGGCAATGTGCATTGTTGAATGACAAAGGAAATGGGGCGGAAAATTAAAGAATCTTTCTACAATGGTGATGGAGACGCGGGCACCCCACAACCGTGATTTGAAATCCAAAAGGGGCAGGGAACTCATGGCTGTAGGGCTATTTCCATTCTCCCTTCCCCCCTCAAAAAAAAATTCTGCCTTTTTTCTTGGGGGGGGGGTTCATCCCCCATCAGAGGGAATATTAGCTTCTTTATGTCGTCTGGTTATTGACTCCCTAATTGAGAAATGCCAATTGAACTGGTGAAAGAAAAAATAATCCAGATTCCATTTGCTCCCCCAGATATTGTGTCTGTACCTGTGTTGTGAAAGTCTTTCTATGTAGTCGCAGAGATTTTTAAGCTGCCGTGACTTTTTTTTTTTTTTTTTTTTTTGCACGAACTTGACGTTGTGTTTGCAGGATTGCAGTGCTTCCAAGGAAACGAATAAACAACCAGTCAACAGCATGGAAGCGGCGGCCCAGGACCACCGGGAGAGCCCGTGCGCACCAAGAACGAGCCCGGAGCAGGAGCTTCCCTCTGCCRCCGCCGTCGCTCCACCACCACGTGTGCCCAGATCCGCTTCCACCGGCGCCCAAACTTTCCAATCCGAGGATGCACGAGTCTGCGAGGCCCAGAGGCCGGGAGTGGGGTTTTGCAAACTCAGTAGCCCGCGGGCGCAGGCGGCTTCAGCGGCCCTTCCAGACTTAAGCGAAGGGTACAGCGCGCAGGGCACCCCTCTTTCTGGGGGCGCCGGGCCCGGCAACGCGTTGCACTGTAAGATCCCGGTTCTGCGGGGCCCAGAGGGGGATGAAAACGTGAGTGTGGGCAAGGGCACGTTGGAGCGGAACAATACCCCGTCTGTGGGCTGGGTGAACATGAGCCAGAGCACGGTGGTGTTGGGCACAGATGGGATCGCATCGGTGCTCCCTGGCAGCGTGACCACTACTGCCACACAGGTAAGCTGGTCCTATGCTATCCGCGCCGCCGCCTGCTCTCCAGCGCGAGAGGCAAGCTGAGCCGTGGCGGGTGCACGTGTGCTGATGGGGAGACGGGTTGGCAGTGCCAGGTTGTGGATGCAATAGTGAGCTTTGGGGCTTCAGAAGCTCGCACAGCGCTGGGGTCGTCAGTTCAGGGCGCGAGGGCTGCAGTGACCCTGCCAGAGGGGCTGCGACATGCCCCTTCCCAGCCTCTGTGGTAGTTAGAATATGGGTGCAAATTAAGAAATAGTTGAAGCAGATAGATTCTACCCCTTTATGCAGACACGACTCCCTCGCCTGTCAATGACTGAGTCTTTCGTGTTTTTTTTTTTTTTAAATTATGATTTAAAAGAAACAGAGAAAAGCCYGTAGGAAGAGGTCGGTGGATAATAATACATGTTCTGTAGTCTTTAAACTGCCAGTTAACATTTATCATCTGTGAACTTATTTGGTGAGAGGCCGGTTTACAAGAGCTACTGAAGCTTAAGCTTCAGGGCCAACTTTTGCTTGGACTCTTCCAAAACCATATCAAATTTTGCCCCTAATGTAGACCACTTGGGTTACATGTCAGGCTCCACCCACCTGGCTCTACCCCTGCATTTGGTTCTTTACAATTCAACCAGAGGCATGAAAAATCCACAGAGCAGATCCCAATCCCTGGGTTAGGGATGAAGGCAACTGCCTGCTCCTTTATGGGCTTTTGTTTCCATTTTCCCCCAGCCTCTCTCCTTCCTTATCTCTCTCTTCTTTCACTCTCCCCTTCCCACTGCCTGCCTTTTTTCTATCTTCTTCCCAGGGCTCAGGGGCTAGGCCTATGTGGTGTGTGTGTGTGTGTGTGTGTGTGTGTGTGTGTGTGTGTTTGTGTGTGTGTATTGGGGGAGGTAGGGGAGAATGCTGGACCAGAATGTCTGCCCATGTGAGATGTGATTTATACACTCATTCTAACCTTAGTCACACTACTGTTTGTGTGTGCACAAACACATACATGCACTTGTATGTACATTCTTATTCATTYACAGGCCCACACATCAGAAGCTCAGCTGTTAGGATAACTAGAAAKAAATATAAACTTGGACATTCCCACTTGCCCTTGGGTTTGGGGTCTATTCCTTGAGCATTTGCCTTTGTGTATTATCTGCCTTTCACAGCATACACTCGACAGTGTGACCCCAGGTGGAGATGAAATTTTGTTTCACATGCTTTGCCTAACCTCCCCACTGCACTGCGGCAAAAAGAGCCGGAACTCCCACCCTTTCCAATCCACCCCAAAGATTGGAGGGTGGGGTTAGAGGTGGAGATGATACGTGTGTGAGAGAAGTAAAGGGAAATTTTACAGATGTTTAGATTCTTGAAATTTCTTTATTTTTCAACCTGCTYATGTATCTGATTGTGCCTTTCTGGTACCCACCCTGGTCCTTCTTCTCCCTCCCCTCGACCTCCTCTCTTCCTGAGAGAACGGCTGGTCTGTAGAGCAGTGCGGGACTGTAGAACAGTGTTAAAATAAAACGTGGAGGAGGTAGAAGTTGTGCAGTGGCCTGAGTTCCCTGGAGACCTTGTGCAGTGCCCAGCTACCCTGAACACTTTTAGAAATCATCTGAGGTAGCCCAGCATTTAGTAAAGCATTCCTGAACCAGTTATTGTCCCCCAATAAGTCATTTTATGTGAGTTTGGAGAAGTGAGCCCCCAAAATTCTTGGATTGCCGGAACTGGCAGCTGCCTTATGGGACAATCATTCTAGCCCTTCATTTTACAAATGGGAACACAGAGGTTCTGAGAACAAGTGCCTTGCCTAGGGTTATCTATCTGGTTGATACTAAAGTTTAGAACACTCAAGGTTTCAGAAAACCTATCTCACCATCTCTGCCTTCTCTGTTCTCTCGTGTTTCACTTYAAATCTCCATCTTGCCCATCTCCCTTGCCCCAGGGTTGAAGGAAGGATTTAATTYGCTGATCACGCAGGTTCTGCCGCAGGCATTAATAGAGAAAGTGAGGCAGAGGCTCTGGCTGGCTTTAAGCATTGCAGCTCTCTTTCTAGCTTTGGCTCACACTTCAGTGAAGAAAGGTGGACAGTGAGGGCTTTTGTGGGGAGGGGAGGAGTTGGTCAGAAACCTGCTTGCTGGGAAATTTAGGCATGATGTTGGGGGACTGCTTGCCAAATGAACTCTTGGTGAAGGGTTGGGGTGAAGGGACCTGCTTGCAATCAGTCTACATGTAAAGGTTTGGAAAAGCTGCTTGCTGTGTGCCCTGACTGTAGGGCTTGGGAAAGAGGGGCTCAGGGGGTCTGCTTAAAATGGATCTTCACCTAAAAATTGGGGGCCTGCTTGCTGACTCTCAATGCAGGGTTGAGGGGTGAGGACCCTGCTTGTAGATGCATCCTTTCTTTAGAATTGGGTTTCTGCTTGCTGATGCATCCTTGGTTGAAAAGTTGGGGACTGCTTGCTGGGACGGACCCCCAGTTGGGGGGAGGGGAGGAATGGGGCCTGCTTGCGGACCTACCGGGGCTGTTATCCGACAATGTGCTTTTCCGCCCCCAGGAGGACGAGCAAGGGGATGAGAATAAGGCCCGAGGGAACTGGTCCAGCAAACTGGACTTCATCCTGTCCATGGTGGGGTACGCAGTGGGGCTGGGCAATGTCTGGAGGTTTCCCTACCTGGCCTTCCAGAACGGGGGAGGTATGGCTTTTCAGCTCTTTCCGCCTGYGGCGCGGCGGGGCGGGCACTTGAGGGTTGGAGGGGGCCCGGAGCCCTCAGGCAGGGGTGGGGAGGGAAAGCTCAGGGTCGCCTCCTGCACTCTAGTTCCTTGCTCCATAGGTTTGAAAGTAAAGCCAGGAGGCAGGGCCGGTTGTAACCATTTGGATTTAGGTTCCAGAGGCTTTCATCTGGAGATGGCTCAGGGGCCCCAGGAACCTCTACTGACCCAGTTTGGGGGACCGGGTCCTGAGCCAAGTGGACAAGGGCGCGGGGAAGTTCGGCGCCAAGTATTAAGGAAGTGTTGGTACTCCCTGCACCGAATCACCTTTTGATTCAGTAGCCCGGCAGTCCTGGCGACCCGAATTAAAAACCTTTGACATTATAATGTGGAAAGCAGAACTTCCTTTGGAGACTTTGGGAATGTGTGCCGAATGCATTCTAGCCAAGGGCTGCCAGCCGAGAGGGGCTGGAGGTCGTACATACCCTCTGAGACTCTCAGAAGCATCCCACCCCAACACACTCCTAAGCAAAAGCAGGGCATATTTTCATTTCAGCAAACTCCCTTAGCAAAAACATGTTTGCTACCTTTTGTCCTCAGCTTAGTGAAATACACTGCTGTCGAACGAAAACCATTCCAGTTATGGGGCCACTAGAATTCATTGTACAAGGAGAAAGGATCCCACATAGTGAGAGTCCCCTTGGTTGCCCGCCCATGGTGGAGGCACCACAGGGAAGGTGGCTAGCCCCCAGGTCAGCCAACTGGCAAGTCCCCTCTAGGAAAGGACTTTGCCCTAGAGCTCCCTTCCACGTCTTCTCAATTGAACCAAAGGGAGGAGACCCGTGGCCCCATCCATAGGTCTTTTTTCTTACTCATTTTCCCCCTCTTTTTGTCTTTTGGGTCTGGCTCTAGGCCGAATTTGGTGCACAACGAGGGACAGGTGCTGCGCCAGGGCACAATTAAAATGGGAAATAGATGAGTTCTCCATTCCAAATTAGGACACATTGACAAGTACTTATGAGGACCGCAGAGCTTTTGTAATAGGGGTGTCCTGGAATTAGAAGAATTCGTGCTAGTCGGGGGAATGGAGACATCCTACCTGGGTTTCCCACAGGGAGTCCTCAGAACAGTGTGCAGAAAGTGGGCAGGAGGTGCCATAAGAAGCTTAGGGACCTAAAGGGAGTTGGGTATGGGAATGAAGGGTGGGAAGGGGATTCAGCATGCCAATTTGGTCTGTGGGTAATCTGCAGAGTGCGGGATTGTGTCTGCAGTTCGGTTCCCAGGCGCATCTGAGCCGAGCCAGGCACCTGGAGGTGCGGAGGCAGCCTTTTCCGCACTGCGGATCCTGATACCCACTGCAGCCCAGGGTTGGGGGGGGGCTGGCCCCTTCCTCAGGAGCAGGATTGCACAATTCACATCTTTCTCAAAAACCCCATTTAGAGAGGATTATAGCAGGATCCTGGGTTTTATACCCTGGCTCCTGCTGGACCTTGGTGGTTATGAGAACCCTTGGCCGGAAAGGCCCTTCTGGTGTACAGGAAGTTGGAAGAAATGTGGGAATAACACCAGGACTCCCAAGGATCAGTGTTTTTTTTTTTTTTTTTCATGATTTTTTTGAGTGAGCAGTGTTCTGAGCTCTGGCATCTCTAGTCCCCTGAATTAACCTTGACCCTTGCAAAGGCATTTTCTGCTGAAAACCTTTTCAAAGGTCATGGCAATTCCCCAAGCTTCTCTCAAACAACTTCAAAGAATCCTTAAAGAGAAAGAACCCTAGAGAACCCAGCAAGCCTGTGGAGGCCCTCCAAGTACTGTTGGCCTAGGTAGTGCATTCTGGGAATAAGGAAACCTATATTGGAGGGCTTCAGGGGGCTCCTAGCCGAGACAAGATACCCACATAAATACTTTGGAGTGCCTGGGGCCAGGTACTATGGAAGGACACAGAAGGGAGATTACCTGAAGGAAGGAGCACTTGTCAACCCTGAAGGATGGAAGGGAGGGGGTCTCATGTAAAGGAAGCTGAGACATGTGTGATGGTGGTGGTGGGGAGAGGGAAGGGGTCTGGCTGCCTGTGGAGCAGAGCCGGGCTCACCTGGTTGTCAGATGTGCAGGTAACATAAAGGAGGGTCTCTGGAGACTAGCTGAGCAGACTTTAAGTCCTTGGAGGTTTCAGCTCTGATGAGATTTTACAGATCTACCTCCAATAGTGAGTTGAAGGCATGACTTTTTGAACCCCGGAAAGACTTTATTTTGGGAAATTGAATGAGTGTAAAGAAAAGTCCACCAACATATAACCCCTAGCATCCTGTCTGGTGAGAAATTGAAACGAGGAGTGTTTTTGTTTTTGCCTGTCTACACTTACAGTATTTTGAGAAAAGCTCTAACATGTCTTGTGGGTGCTTCTTGTTGGTTTAGAATATAAAACATGTCTTCAGAAAAGAGGTTAAATTGTCCTTTAGTTTATTGAGAGGAGGCCCAGCTCCTAACCCAGAGGGTTAAGGTGGGCCAGAGCCATGCCTTTGCCTCCCAGGGCTCTCACGTCCAACTCTTTCTTTCCAAGGTGCTTTCCTCATTCCTTATCTGATGATGCTGGCACTGGCTGGGTTGCCTATATTCTTCCTAGAGGTGTCACTGGGCCAGTTTGCCAGCCAAGGGCCAGTGTCTGTGTGGAAGGCTATCCCAGCTTTACAAGGTGAGTCCAGACCTTCTCTTATTCCTGCCCTCTCTGCCACCACACAGCTCTAGGAAGGAAGATCTATTTTCATGATTGATGGAACTTCCTAGTATTTAACCCCAGTAAAGAATGGCCCAAGATCATCTCTGTCATTGTTGAATTCCTGACATTATGTCTCAATGCCCCAGGTAGACATAGACTCACTTCCACTGTTAGTGCATCCATCTTCACAAGACCAAGGTCCTCACCCTGTGCCCAACTGTTAGCATTCCATAGGATTTGAGGTGGAATGAATCCCTGGAATTTTTGTTTTTGCAGGTTGTGGCATCGCAATGTTGATCATCTCTGTCCTAATAGCCATATACTACAATGTGATTATTTGCTACACACTTTTCTACCTGTTTGCCTCCTTTGTGTCTGTGCTACCCTGGGGCTCCTGCAACAACCCTTGGAACACGCCAGAATGCAAAGATAAAACCAAACTCTTATTAGGTAAGTTTGGACGTACTTCAGTTGTGTGTGTTTTGAGCAACTTATTCATTTAACAAAGATTAATTGAGCACATATTATGCATGCCAGGTCCTATACAAGGTTCTGGGGGCACAAAGCCAACATACTTAATTTAAGCATTTAAGGAGTTCATGGTTCTAAGGAGGAGTRGTCAAATTTTTGTTTGCTCATGAATAGCTTAATGTTTGTTAAAAATGCAGAWTMATAGTCCTACCCAGGATGCAGTTGGCTTAATGAAATTCATCCTGGGTAGGACTATGAATGGTAGGACTAGGAAATTTCAAGTTTTACAAAGTAGTCTAGGTTCTTCTTTTGTCTCATAGAGTGTTTGTCAGACTAGCAGCATTACTTGGGAGGGGCTTGAAAGCCTCCCTCTAGACTTCTGGAATTAGAAGTTGCATTTTGCCAAGATCAAGCACAGCACAATTTGAAAAGTGATGCTCTAGGTTCTAGAGTCTAGGAGAGTAATACAAGTGATCCCAGGGACACCCTTCACAAAGTACTGCTCAGTGCACAAGTCAATATGGGAGCAAACACACAGGCCTAGACCTTGGAGATAAATGTGCATAACATAGTGCCTGGCGGGGGGCACGTCTGCTGGGGAGTCGGGGGTATTCCTGGAAGACTTTGCAGGTGTGAAATCCATGGGGACTTGAGGTCTTGGGGGCRATTGTCAGTCTCTTGGGTGGAGGGCAAGAATGAAATGGAGGGGAAACAGGGCAGAAATGTGGGCAAGGCTCTCTGGTCTATAAGCTGTCTCTGCTTCTGACTTTATGTATCTCTGGGCCAAATAATTTCTCTCTGCGTCTCAGTTTTCCTCATCTGAGAAATAKAATAATAATATTCTGCACCCTATCTATCTTATGGGCTATTGTATGGAGAAAAGACATGAGGGATATGATGGCAGTTGTAAAGGTATAAAACTCTACAAATAGAAGGCATTAGTATYAGTCAATTTTGAAAGCTTTGGTCATTTTCATGGGGACCTTAAGCAAAGGGTTTCCTTTTTCCCTGGTAGATATGTGTTCTTCTTCAGCTGAGTTCATGCTGAGGCCATGTGCTTATGCTATCCATGATTGGCTCTTGGTATTGGCCTCACAAACCAGCTCTTCCCCCCACCCCCCGCTCCGTATTCTGCCCAGTGCAGCACTCAGGCAATGTTTGACTCCTTGTGTGTAAGAGCAAAGGATAAACACCCCCAACCCCCAAGAGAGGCATACACACCTAAAGATAGCAATTCCTACTGGAGTGTGTTTACCCTCAGGTGTCTGTACATACACACCATGTCCAGCCTCCACCTGGAGAAGCTTTGAGTAAGACTGAAAGGGAACTAAAACTAGAGACACGTGCCCATTGAATCCAAACCCTGTGTACCTGGAAGTGCTCAGGAATAGAGGGGTGGAGATTTATGAAGGTTTCCAGAGGTGCGATTCTTTGGTTGTATGACCAAGAGTCTGTTCCTTAGTCTCTCTGAGCCATGGTGTGCTCATCTGTACCATTTCCATGATTCTTAGGTTCTGGGGGCACAAAGCCGATTTCTAACAACCAGACATACTTAATTTAAGCATTTAAGGAGTTGGTTATATGACCAAGAGTCTGTTCTAACAACCAGACATACTTAATTTAAGCATTTAAGGAGTTGGTTATATGACCAAGAGTCTGTTCTAACAACCAGACATACTTAATTTAAGCATTTAAGGAGTTGGTTATATGACCAAGAGTCTGTTCTAACAACCAGACATACTTAATTTAAGCATTTAAGGAGTTSGTTATATGACCAAGAGTCTGTTCCTTAGTCTCTCTAAGGTTCTCAAGCTCAGCTGCTGAATGTTAGTATTACCCGAGAACCAACAAATCAAAACATTATTTAGGGTTCACCCACACCAATTAACATCAGATTATTTAGGGACAGAGGCTAGGGATCTGTATGATTAAAGTTCCCCAGGTGCAACCAAGGGGAAGAACCATTAAGCCCACATCTCTGTGCATGTGTATATGCGAGCTGGGGACTGAACCCAGAGCCACTCCACATTCTTTAATTAGGCTCCCCTTAGACAGTTGTGGAATGGAGGAGCCCACATTCTTTGCCCTGCACAGAACTTAGCTCAACAAAGCTGCTGTATGGGACTATCCCACTTGGTAGCTGTAGAGAGTCACAACCATCAATCAGTTGCCAGAACAGCTTCCTGAAGATGGTTGCCATGTTAGAATGCAGAACTACCTCATGATCCCAACTCATCCCAGAGTCCTGCTTGTCCTTCCCAGATTGTGTCTGGGAGGGAAGTGACTTTCCAAGAGGGTGCCTGATAGAGCAGGGTTGTTGGGTTGATTCAGGCTCCATGGGATTCTTCCCTGGGGACTCGCCTCAGGGATAACATGAGTCATAGTGTCAGTGTCCTGCAGCTGTCCTTCSGGAGGAATAGTAGTTTAGAAACACCATCCTCCTCTACTAACAATACTAGCTAATATTAAGTGCATCCCTTACTCCACAGCAAGCACCAACTTTAACACTTTTATTGAATTATCAATGTCAAAGTGGACAACAGATAACATATGAGTTCTATTGTTTCCATTTTACAGGTGAAAAAATTTGAGCTCAAAGTCATAGAGTTAGCCATGTGTAGACATGGGATTTGAATCCAAGTTTACCCACTTTCCAAAGCCATGGACCTAAACACTATGCTAAATGCTTTCCAATCTACCAAGTGGCTTTATAAATGTTTCCGTTATTCCTTATGGGAGCCCTCTGAGTTCCAAATGTCAGGTGGCATGATCACTATTTTGCGAGTGGCAAAATGGACTCTAAGGCTCAAGCTTTAAGTCAMAAGGTAGAACCAGTACTAGAATTTGGGTCTCATAACCTCTGACTTTCTGTTTGTCCAGGGTTCTTGAAAAATCTTTGGTCCAAGGTTCTATTCCATAAGTCCCAGCAAAATGATATTACTCCAGTTGTTGTCTAACTGGTGTTTGATATTGAAATTCTATGGGATAAGAAGAAAGCTTGGGTGAATTGTCAGTTTCCACTTCTAGAAGTCTATTTTATGAGGGAAATTAGGGTCAGGTAAATACGATACAAAATTGTTAATTACAGTTATGCTTGTAATATTGGAAAACAGTAGAAGCACTTAAATATTTGAYAGAATTCATACAATTATCAAGTTATTCCATAGTTTAAACATGGGAATAGTCTCATCATATCATGTTAAATGTTACAGCAAGATGCAAATTTTAGAATAATTTTATCTTTACTAGTAATATGCACATGGATATGCATATTACTAGTAAATAATAGTAATATGAATATTAACAGTRGTGGATTTGGGACCATTCTTTTCTATATTTTCTATCATGTTCTTATTTTTATAGCCAGTACCCAGCCCCCTCCATTTTAAAAAGTAAATTGAGCTTGTCAATTGGGCCACACACAAGGTAGGGGCCCGAGACAGGCAAGACCCTGCCCTGGTTTGGTTTTTTTGTTTCCAGTCTGACTCATAGCAACATAAAAGGCACAGTAGAGACATAACACAGCTAAGCTTTGGTCGACTGGTACAAACCATAAAAACTGTGCAAGCTCTGAGCAGAGACAATGGACATTTTTCACTTTGATTATTCCCTGTGAGCCTATGGGCAGGCTCAGAAGATCCTATCTCATCCTTAGCCATTGCTTTAATTTTTTTTGTTAAAAGAATAAGGTGTCAAACCCCCACTCTTCCTCTGTGCAGCCCCTCCATCTCTCATTTGGTGTTATCTGCGCCTGGGAGTGTTCCATTCGCGGGGGTCATGCTGTCACTTGCAGGAGGACTGATATTGTGGGGTTCTTGTATGATTTAAAAAAGGTGATAGTGACCTGACCTGCAGAGATGCAGACAGCTGTAGAGCCATCTGCTCTGCTGGACAATTGGTAGTCCAGACAGCAGATATTCCTGTACAATTTCCCAAGTGAACACACCAAGTGAGGCTTACTTAGGAGACAGAAAAATCTTTTTGCCCCAAATGTATGTCCCAAATGGCCTTCAGGTTCACCTTCTCCCTCTTAACCCCTTTACAACCCACCCTCATGACAGCTAGGTAAAAGGACTTGTCCTAGGAGAGAGGGGATAAATGGCCATAATTGTGACCTTCAACCACAGGGATGAATGGTTGTCCCATGCATCTCTCAGTGCTGCTAGGGACATGCTATCTGGGAGCTCTACCTCACCACAGAGCAGCCAGGGCATTGTACCTAGGTCTACCCATGGGTAGAGGTTGAGTTTTACACTTATTTTCTAAGGTGCAAATTTGTAGAAGACACTATTTTGGGGTGACTCAACCCTCCAGGTATCTATAATGRAGAGCAACTAATCTGTGCCCTGCCAAGTAAGACCAGCAACCGTTTTGTGAAAATAGGAGCTAGCAGGGTCACTCCAAATGGGAACAACATAAATACCATTTCTATTTCTGGAATGGCTCAATTTTCATTAGAACTTTAATTAAATGATTCCTATTCTCCCTAGTCTTCCCATTTATTAATAATTGCCCGAATAAAGAGAATCCCATTCCAACGGCTTTTCAATTTAGCGCGATCATTATCACTGTTCTTTGTTCGGGGTTGCTGGGCCGCGGAGCTCAGTGATGAGAAGGCCCATCCATCCTTTTCGCTTGCAGACATAACGGAGCCCTGCGCTGGGAAGCGTGCTCCTGCCGCCCAGTGGTGGGAAGGGATATTGCAGGAGACCTGAGGCTGCAGAGAGTGAAGGAGCCGAGGCTGCTGCATTGCTGCAGCAACTGTCACCTTGAACTGCTGCAGCGCAGTGATCCAGAAACCTCCAGAGGCGTTCTTTAGGGAAGGAGCCTGCCTGCTCCACAATGGCAATTTTGGAAGCAGGAATTTGACATTTGCCCAAGTATTAGAGATCTCTGGTCCTCAGAGATGGACACCATTTGGGGGCAGGAGGGAGAGAAAGAATTCCTGCGCATACTTGCTAAAGAGGGATATGGATGGTGCTTTAATTGCCTTGGTTCAGTTTGTTGCTAGGGGGAACAAAATCTTCCCGAGTAAATATTTGATTATTAGCTGGGAATCCTCCTGAAACTGTTTTTTGATTAAACTAAAGAAGATAATATTCAATAGAAAGCTACTTAGAGATATATAAAAGCAGAGTTTCTCCRCCCAGGATTTTATGGGGGACATCTGGCAGTGTTCCAGAGACATGTTTGGTTGTTGCAACTGGGCAGCSTGTGAATGCTCCTGACATTTAGTGAGCAGAGGATGGCGTGCTGCTAAATACCCTGCAATGTGCAGGACAGCTTCCTGAAAGAGTTATCTGACCCCAAATGGCCTCAGGACTGTGTTGAAAAATCCTAGTCTGAAGAATTCAGCAAAGGGAAAGGAGTCTTATGATTATTTWTTTACTCTTTACCCAATATTCTGAGGCATTATGGAGGATGTGTGGAAGGCAGTAGGTAAKTTATGGAGGCTATTGGGCTTGGGGGAGATGATATTGAGGATCAGAGATGTTCACTGCATGAAAAGCTGTAACAGTGATGATTGAGTTATGGCTAAAAATTTATTGAGTGCCAGCCAACTGCATGCCTAGCATCTTGTGAAAAAAATTTTTTCTCTCTCTCTTATTTACTTATAATATTGGGAATTTAATCCAGGCACACTCCACCACTGAGCTACACCACCAGTCCTTTTCATGTTTTTCTTTTTCTGTTTTGTTTTTTTWAAATTTTGAGACAGCCTTTTGATAAGTTGAGCAGCTTGCTTCTAACTTTGATCCTCTGCCTCATTCTCCCAAGCTCTGGGATTGCGGGTGTGCCTCATTTCACCCAGCAATTTTTTTTTTTTAATTCATGATCTCATTAATTTGAAACTTGCAACAATGCTGTAAACTAGATATGACTCTTACSGGAAGATGGAGGCATGGACCGATAAAAGAACTTAATCAAGCTGTCCTTAACCTGTAGGCTTGCCTGCCTTCCTATTCCACAGAGGGCAGATATTGGGTATAGACACACCGGTCAGATCTTGGCTGCATATGATTTCCCCCCTGTGATATTTTAAAACAATTGTAACTCATTTCCAGCATTTTATTTATTTTTAGTGGTACTGGGGCTCTAACCCAAGGCTTTGAACATATGAGGAAAATGTCATACCACTAAGTCATACCCCCAGCTGTCAACATCTTAAAATTGAAAGATCTCACACCAATATCTAAATTTTCTGCCAGAACATCTGAAAAAGCCTGGCACTGATTGGCTGGAGTACTCTGTTGGCCACGGTCCCCCGCCTCTCTCTATGTCCTCCATTGTGTGCCCTCCTCATTGGTGTTGCCATCCTGGGGTCTGCAGGTGTCTGAGGTCATGATCCTTGCTCTTTATTTCATTGCAGAGAATTTAAGAGGATGGATTCCAAAGAGAGGGTGCTTGTTTGCTTCGTGACTTGATGTACGACCCTGTGAGCATCTCTCTGGGCTCTAGTTTCCTTTCTTTGTAACACAAAGATAATTACAGTGCCTATCTCAGAGGGGTGGCATGAAGCTTAAATTAGCCTGTGGTTATAAGACACTTAAAAGAGTGTCTAAGCCACGATCAGTGCCGTACAAGTGATGGTTGTTATTACTGTTTACTCCTTTACAAAACAGTATCTTTTAGGATTAGGCCTGGTGGACTCTTTGTTTARAATATCTGTCAATTTATCTGTATTTTATTATAAAGCTGTTAGACATTATAATGTGGTAAGAAAGATTTCAGCTTCTTCCTATTTAAAATGAAGATAATAAAATGCACCTCGTGGGTTTTATGAAGATTTTGTGAGCTGATAATTGTTAAAAGGGTACAGCGTCGTGCCTGACATAGTACGATTCACATGGTAACTCCCACTTCTTATCCCAGGCCTTCTCAGCCTCACCACTACTGACATATTGTGCTAGGTAATTCTTTGTTTTGGGGGACTGACTTGTACATTTTAGAATATTTAGTAACATCCATGACTTCTACCCACTAGATGCCAGTAGCACCCAGTTCCCTGATATGAAAGTTAAAAATGTCTCCAGACATCACCAAATGTCCCACGGGGTTCAGATTCCTTGAGTAACACTGTGTCAGATCTTGTTGCAGGTTTTCCTGAGCATAGTGTGGTTGCTGCCTCCATTCACCCCTCCCCACCCCCAGGTCAGGGGAACAGAGTAGGGATCTTAGAGTGCTTCTGGTGGGTTGGCTGTGGCGCCCAGCAGGGGGTCTGGGATGAGCTTGCTAAGCTTCTGTGGCTGTACCCCTTCTGGAAGTTTGTTTATCTCTGATTAAACTCATTCATACCATTCATTTGTTTTCTGTAGAGTCCCAATGACCTCCCGGTTTGAATTCAAATTCTCTTCCTCATTTGCTGTGTGACTTTGGTAAAGTTACTTAACCTCTTGAAGGCCATTTCCATATTTAAAAAATGGAGATAATACTACCTGCTGTGTGCATTGTCGTGAGCAGTCAAATGAGATAATGCTTGCAAAGTGCTTAGATCCCACATAAATGTGAGCCATTGTTATCAGTACAAGGTCCTGCTGGGGATATGGGAGTGGGGTGGGGGCCACAATGAGTAGAACACAATTCTGTGCTTCTACATCTTGGTTAACACTTTCCCAAATTTACCCTCTAATACTTGGCAAGTGTATTTGGCTTATATTTAAATGGAGACCGACAGACAGATATATATATTCTCTGTACAGATTTCACTGTGTTTCTCTTCCATCCTCTCCTAAACAGATTCCTGTGTGATTAGTGAGCATCCCAAAATACAAATCAAGAACTCGACTTTCTGCATGACTGCCTATCCCAACTTGACAATGGTTAACTTCACCAGCCAGGCCAACAAGACGTTTGTCAGTGGGAGTGAAGAGTACTTCAAGTAAGATGGCTGGGGAGTGTGTGTGTGTGTGTGTGTGTGTGTGTGTGTGTGTACTTCCTAAGAGAAGCCCAGTGAGTTATAGATGTTCATTTTAAAGACTAGAGGTGAGGGGGTGGCGTGGTGGGGTCACTTCCATGTGTATCTTGACTGTTCAGGGAAATACGTTTTTTCCTGGTTTGGCTTCCAGATGCAGATTGTGATACATTGGAGGCCTTGAGATGAGGGTTGGCTGGAAGATGGTTGGTGGGAGCAAGATCAATGCTTCTATAATTCATCATGATAATGGAAAAAAATTGTAACCGTGATCCAGTGTGATCAAGGCAGACCTTCGGTTAACCAGATATTTTTTTTTTTTTTCCAACTGCTCTTGATTTTCAGGGAAGAAAGGCAAAAAATAAGAAATCCAGTCATTATCAAAGTTTTAATGTAAATAAGAATGAATTTCCTCCTCTCTCTCTCTCTCTCTATAGCTTCGTTTTGTATTTTCTATATCTATATTACGGTACATTGAATACTGAGGCTCAAAGATACTAGAAAATTCTCAGCGACTTTAGGAAGATTTAGAAAATTTCATGAAATTGTATCTTAAGGAAGGTAAATGTAGACATTTCAACCAAGGGTAAAAAAAAAAATGAGTATTTTCCAGCTAACCTTTAAGTAAGGAATTGTGAACTCAAATGCGCTCAGGGACCTGGTAGGGAATATAAATGAGTCAAGTACAGACCCGTAAGACTATAGAGAATGGTGGGGACTGAAAAACTGAAGAGGACACCTGCTCTGTGTAAGGGAAGCCGGTGATGCTCAGCCCCATCTCATCACTGCCTGGGGGAATATGGATCAGCATCATCAGAGCTTCCCTTTCCCCAAAGAAGTTGGAAATATAACCTAGATTTTTATGTGATCTCTCCCATTTTAAATGTTAGTAAAAAATAATTCAAATAAAACACTGGAGCCAAATAAAATACCTATATTGATGGGCCTCCAGTTAGTTATGCAGATGGTGATATTGGAGGGTACAGGGGTGGGGTGGGGGCCACAATGAGTAGAACACAATTCTGTGCTTCTACATCTGGGTTATTAGTTAGTGGCCTTTACTAGATGGTAGGAAGTGGTCACTCATACCTCGCTATTTCTCCCAGTTGCCATTAATTTCCATTTCAGATTTTCTTTTCTGTATGGTCTCAAAAGGTGCATGGTTGTCCCCTGCAGGATAGAAGGGAGATTAAGGATGAATGATTAATCCTCTGAAGACAGTTCTCATAGGGATGATATGGGTGGCCTTCAATTCACTCTGAGCAATGAAAATCTGAGCCTGGCCTGGTGGTATCTGACAAAATCTGACCGCACAATCTGTGTGGTTGGGTATCCTGGAAAATGATTTGGGATCCTGCTTTTGGTGGTTGTTACTGATCCCCTGGGGCCAGTTTTAATTTCTAAGAAGAAATGTTATCAGGAGCTTTTTGGGACTTGTCCCAGGTCTCTTACTGAAGCACAGAGCAGTTGAGATGGTCAAGGCACTGTGCAATTGTTGAATAAGTGGATTTTATTCAGCAATGGGGACATGGGGGAAGTTCCCCCCGCAACCTTGGGAAATTTGATCCTCAAAGTTTTACCATGGAGCTAAGTTAAGTTCCACTACTGGTTAGTCCCGCTCAAATTTTGAGCCCCTTTGCTCCCAGGTTTAGGACTGAAGGAGGCTCTGTCCTCACAAAACTTGGCCCTGCCTGTTCTGAAGGGCATGACTGAGTGTGGCAGAACAGCCCGAAGGAGGCTGTGGCTAGCTGGCAGGAGGCTGTGAAGCTGGCCAGGTCAGGAAAGGCACCACCATCCTCATTTCCCTCGGCAGGTCAGAACCTGTACAGCCCCGTGGAGTCTGGTTTCTTGATGGCCCTTTGTTCAGGACACAGAAAAATGTGGACCTACAAATAGCAATTTCATATTGCAGGCGGGGCAGGTTGTCACTGAGTCAAAGTGACTGAATATGCTATCAGGCTCAGTGACCTTGAAATTGACTCCTGGTCTCAGGATGGAGGCTGCCCTGCTAGCCATCCAGCCAGGCTCCATTTACTTGCTAGGGATGTGGGAAAGGCCAGGCAGGCTGTGACTTCTTCATTGACATGGGTTGTCAATAGCAGCTGCAGATGACCAGCATCCCCCTTCTGTTGGCACCTGCATATCTGCTTTGAATAAAATGCTTGAATAAGGTCAGGCCACCCCTTCTTGTACATTGTAGCTGACCTCAGCTTCAGGACCTGCACAGTGCAGTCTGAACTATAATATAGAGCATTTCTAGTCATTTAGCATAAGCAGTTTCTACTGTGTACTAATTTTTCAAATTTAGCATTATGCAAATATTCTTATAACCCACTAGAACAATGCAGAAAACACACAGAAATTATGCTTGACAGTTTGGAATTTCAATTGCACTTCTGTGGCAGTTCCAGATGATGATGGGCTGACTGTCTGGCTCAGAGTTGTGCCGAGGGCCACAAGTGTCCTCCCAGCACATCATTAAGAGCACAGTAGATCCAGCTGGTGTCTCTGCAGACAGCTATGGGTGAGGGCCCAGATCTGCAAATCCCTCACAACCTGATCTGATTAGGTCCCTGGTGAGGAGGCTGGGGGACATTGCTGGGTTTGTTCAAGGCTCCTGGCTCTGCTGGGGACTGTCACTTCCTCCTCTTTCCCTCTCATTCCTCTCCCTCCCTTCTCTTTTAATCCTCAGGTACTTCGTGCTGAAGATTTCTGCTGGGATTGAGTATCCTGGGGAGATCAGGTGGCCACTAGCTTTCTGCCTCTTCCTGGCTTGGGTAATAGTGTATGCATCCCTGGCTAAAGGAATCAAGACTTCAGGAAAAGTAAGAACTTAGGTTTATCTAAGTAAGAGAAAGCTGTGGAATGCCCAAGGGGGGCTGTGTCATAGAGCAGGCAACAGAGCAATGGGAAGGGAGTCTGTGGATGTGGGTGCTAATTCTGATTGTGCTCCATGGTAGCTGTGGAGCTCTGGGAAAGTGACTTCACTCCTGTCTGTAAAATGGGGATAGAAATACTGTTCTTGTAGGGACCCAATAAGACAAATGTGTTCAGAGCTCTAGGTACTGTGATTAGTTTCCTCCCTGTCCTATTAGGGCAGTCACGTGTTCCACAGATGGATGTGATTTGGTTGTTTTCCTTAAACTCTCAAGTTCGTGCTTTTGTTTTCTTGCCTCTGGGTCTGACCGCCAGGTTAGATGTTGCTTCTGCCAAGAAGATGGTTGCAGATCAAGAGTCCTTCTCATTCTACCATCATGTTCTTGGTTTTCATGCCCTTCTTCCAGCACCCAGCTTGACACTTTCTCAACCCTCAGGCCCCCAGCACTAAAGGAGGACAGTCCTGTCAGTGGGACTGACTGAGCCAATGCTGGGCTAGTTTCACTGAGCAGTCTCTTGGTTGGGCCCCTGGGAAGCTGCTATGGAACTCCCTCTGCAGCCCATTTCCAAGCCTCAGAAGGCTGGGAGTCCAGGCAATCCCAAGCCACACTGGCCATTGTTATAGAAAAACCCCACTGATGGGTTGACCAATCCTTTTTTTGCATTACAAAACAACTAATAATATCTGGTGACTCCAAAAGGCATTTGCATGCTTCAAAATGAAAGTGAAAACGTCTTTAAGACTCAAGGAATGAATATGTAATGGTGGACTGAGATCATAGGGCGTGCAGTGAGACTTGGTCCAGGTGTCCAGGCCAGGGCTTTCTGTGGCGACATTATCACCAACTGACTTTGGAAGGATCAGACCGTGTGGGGAGGCTGGTCTGTCCACCTCCCAATCCTCAATCCTCAGAATGCGCCCAACCAGATACTCAAACCTGGCTGGCACCCCTTGGCCACATAAGCCAATCTGTGCTCTCTCTGGGCATATGGACATGCTTCTGGGTGCCCTTTGATTACAGGTCTTTCTGGTTCTTTCTAGATAATCTAGTGCCGCAGGCATGTAAATCATGAGCATTGGCAGGTATGTCATGGTCATCTGGGACAGGTAGCAGAACTCAAATTGCACAATGTGGGAAGAGTCAAGCCAGCTAGAGACAATCAGACTGTGGGGGAGGGCACCCTGGGGACTTCTCCTGGTGTTTGCTGAAGAGGGACATCTCCACTTGGGCCGTGAAACTTGACTGGGTTTTTAATTGGCTCTAAGCTTTTATTTGTTCTTGTCAACAAATGAAAAGAGAATGCTTTCATCTTAGCTATTTTAGGAAATTTTGGTTTCCTCATTTCTAAGGGGAAGGCAGGTGGGTGACGTCTAAGGCCCTCTTATCTTTTAGCATTATCCTGTCTGAACACTTGCTGAGTGTGCTGGGCGGGGGGGGGGGGGGGGKCACTTTCTTCTCTGACTTCAGTTTCTCCTTCTATAATAAGAGCTGGGATTAGCTCGGAGTACTAGAGGCTGGGTCGTGGGCTTTTTAAGGCTGTAGGAAGATAGGACAATGTTAAAGTGACCCTAACAACAATGCCCAGAGTGGCCTTAGATTTCCTGGAGTCCTTGTCTTCTGTGGCTTGGCACTGAGCTAGGAAGGAAGTTCCATTGTCCTCAAAGGGCCCAGCCAAGGGATTGGTCAGCGAGACTAGCCAAGTATTTGTTGGACCAATATTCCACCAGCAGGATTGCCTCTTGTGGCTAAGGGTGGAGACTGTCCCTTATCACTAAACTGTCATCTAGTGGCTAGGCTAGAAGGTGAAGATGTGCCTGGCTGGACAAGAGGTGATAAATGAGGAGCTGGGAGAACAGGAGCCTTCTTGGTGGCATGAGGAAAAAAGACCTGGTGCCTCCAGAGTCAGACCAATCTGAGTTCAAGTACCGACGTGAACACGATATTTAACCTTTGGAAACTGGCTCCTTATCTGTACTTTGAGGATGACAGCATGCGCCACATAGGATTGCTGTGAGGAATGAATGAGATAGTGCGTGTGTAAACCTGGCATATGATCAGTGAACGTTAGCTCCTTTCATTTTTTTTAAAACATTTATTCTTTAGAAGTAGCTGGACACAACTTCCTTCCTTCCTTCCTTCCTTCCTTCCTTCCTTCCTTCCTTCCTGATGCTGAGGATGGAACCCAGGACCTCCCACGTGCTAGGCGAGCGCTCTACCACTGAGCACAGTCTTAGCCCCTCTTTTCATTTTTATTATTATAAATGTCTATGTATTAAGGGGGTCTTGTGCCACGGTGGCATCTCAAAAACAGTGCTGTTTTGAGGGAAATGGGAAGAGAAATGGAGTTTTGTGCAACATCTGTGCCAGGCACTATGTTGACAGTTGCACAAGCATTTGTTCATTCAACTTTCACGACCCCCTGCTGGGGTAAGTACATTGGTTCCATTTTATAAGCTCATCAAGGGAGACCAAATTGCCTGAGATTACAGTCTTTCACGGCTGTTAGAATTTGAACCCAAGTCTGTCTTGCTATGAGGCCTAGACTCTATCTGGCCTTCTCTTCAAGGAGGGACTGCTGGTGGGAAATGTGAATTGGGAAAATCCATCTTCCTCCCATTGTGGGTCAGGACCTCACACTCCTCTCCCGTCTCTGCAGTTCAACGTGTAACGACTTGGGAAATCCCAGGATGTATCTGGACCTTACTTTTCTCATTTGCAAAGTCAAAGGCCTGAGTAAACATTCACTAGGATTCTTTTAAGCCTTGCTCTTCTGTGCTGTTTTGGAATGCCTTATAATCAGTTCTTCCAGCCAATTCAGAATTTACTCCTTAGTGCTGAATTTTGTAGCCTTTCTAGGAGAGGATGTTTTAGTAAGCCCTGAGCAGGTTTTTATTTTCTTTAGATCTTCTAACTTATCCCCTCTTCATTGAGGAAGTTTTCAGACCAAAGATCAATGATCAATTATTTTTTTTTCAATGTGGGATACCACCAGAAATAATGAACCACAATTTATTCTCCTGGCCTGGGTTGTACAGATATTAATCTTGAAAACTATTTGAGAACCAAGGTGAATGGCATGACTGAAGCTGCTCATTATGGCAAACTCCTTTGTGATTGAAATTCCCCCAGCACAGTCATTTCTATGCCGCAGAGTTGTCCTTCCTTTCCTGCAGCACAATAAACTCAGTTCCTCTTATTTAGGACCTGAGGAGACAATAATGGTTGGTTGCTTCTTCTGAGACCAAAGCCTTTGAGCAGCTAGAGCTCTAGAGACAGGGGCGACCAGCAGGCAGCCTGAAGGTCAAGCACAGCCCATCTGACCGCAGGGGCTGCTCTTCCTGAAAGTTATGGCAACAGAGCAAAGCTCACCTAATTAGCTCGTGCGGCAGGCCGTACCACCTGTTCAGGGACCCTGTGGTGAGGAGGATGCCTCAAGGATTCAGGCCGACAGACTGAGACCAACTAGTTAGTCACTCCTGCCAAGTAGAATTCATTATTGTTCAAGTTTAATTCCTCTGACAGTATATCCTGAAATGGTTACATTCTCAAGTTTCCCCAACACAGGGAATGAACTGGGCACGGAGCTTCCGTGGACACGTCCTCTCTTGCATTTGAGGCATCCTCAGGATTTATCAACCAATCTGTCAGCCCTCTCAGGTCACCAAGACCTGAGAGGTATTCTTTTCTGCGAAATGGGACTAATGTATCTGGTCCAGAGGCAGAACTCCAGGCGTGGCGGTGTCTGAACCTTGTCCACAGTCAAATGGGAACATCCCTCAGCTGGTTAGGCTGGGAGGAGTCTTGGCCTTTCCCCCTGCAGGCTCCTCAGTTGCAGCGTCCCCTGCCACTATTGTCTTGGGGTGACGTTGGAAGTCAGACTGGTAAAGGCCATCCTTGGTTGGTGGCCTCTCCTCCCTCTAGTCCTGTCTCACAGCTGAGAGTGCAGGTGCACCAGCCCAGGGTGGGGCGATTTTCTCCTGAGATGTCAGATGTCCTTGGGCACATCTGACATCTGGGCACATCTCTGTGCCCAGAGGTTTCACTTTCTCTCACCCTTTAAGGGGAAGAGAGAAGCAGGTTTGCAGGAATAGGAGGGAGCTGGCCGCTGTCTCTTGCCCACAATCCCTAGCATTGTGAGACTGCTGTCCTGTGGGGGCAGGGAAGAGGCATCCTGTCCTGGTGGTGGCAGTGGAGAGGTGAAGAGGCCAGCCTGTCCCTGGGTCTGCAGCTAGAAAGCAAGGGGTTGGCCTTGAGAAACTGGGTTTAGCATCAAAAATAACTTCCCCATTTCACTTGCTGAGACCAAACATGTTGGAGTCATCCTTGACTCTTCTTTTTCTCACATTAGATATACAGGACATTCTCTTGGCTCTCCTTGAAATCATGTCCAGTCTGATGGTTTCTTATCAGCTCTACTGATCTCCTGGGGGAGCCATCGCCATCCCTTGCTTGGTTTGCTGACAGGTTTCCTCCTGTTATTGCCCCTCCCTTGCTCTTGGCAGTACCTGCAGAAGGTGACACTGTTAAAATATGACATCATGTTACTAATCTGCCCAAACCCCTGCTGCAGCCTTCCTTCTCCCACAAAGTGAAAACCAGAGTCCTTAAGGGCTCATCTGGCTCTGTGCAACCTGCTCCTCTCTGCCTTGTCTGCAGGCTTCCTCTCCCCTACTCCTCTCTTGTTCCAGGCCAGCCTCCTTGATATCCCTATAGGGCACACATCTGCCCTTCTTAGAACCATTATTCCAGCTCTTTCCTCTATCTAGCATGCTCTCCCGGACACCTGGTTGGCTCACATTCACTTCTCAATGAAGCCTTCCCTGGCCACCCGTTTCATTTTGCTGGTGGTACTGGAACCCAGGACCTCACATATGCAAGGCAAGTGCTCTGTCATTGCCCTCTATCCCCAGCCTATGGCCACCCATTTTAATATGGCCATTTTCCTAACCATTCACCCAGTATGCCTGTCTCCTTTTTCTGCTCTAGTTTTCCTCCAATAGATGTATCACCTGCTTTGTTTACTGAAATGTCCCAGATGCATAACTATGCATGGCTCATATTACCTGTCCTATGTATTCATATATTTGTTTATTTGAATAAAGGAAATGACCCCAGGACTCTAACCTTTCCCAATCCATCTCTTTTGAAGTTTCCATATTAGTCCTCATCCCTTGAAATCTCAGTTCCTTTCCCTAGCTGCCAGGCTGGAGCCCCCAGCCAGGTACTAGAGTCTATGCAGCCAGTGTGTGTCAAGAATTCTGCTCCCACTCACAGGGGCCAGTGTTCTAGTTAGATGGAACACTTCCAGGATGGAAGATGCAGGAGGAAAGGAGATGGCTCTAAGCCAACAGTACTCCCTCAGCTATAACGCCCACCGGTGGATAAGAGAGGACTTTTGTGGGCTCTCATTCCACTAAGTATCTTATGATACATTTTTGGGATACAGCCTGCTTGTGAGCTAAGGGTTCTTAGTGTTGTTAAATTTAGGACTGGTGAGTTCTAGGCCAGGCTCTGAAGTGGCACTTTTGTTTCTAGTGCTTCAGGTCCGTACTCTTTGTATGGATTGTTCCAATATCCTCTTTTAGTGGCCCTGTGAGGAGCGTACTGGGAACACCACCTTGCAGTGTGGACACTGAGACTCAGAGAGCTTAAGTCACTTTTCAAGGTGACCCAGATTATAAGTGGTGGAGTCAGGCCCATGTGACCCTAGAGCCTGAGCTAATACAGTCTACTCTCTTCCCTATCTACCATTTTGATCCCAAGCCCTTCCTTACCCTGAGGCTTGATTGACAGGTAAGGAAGGAAAGTACCTCCAACACATCCCCATCCAACAAGTCCCTAAGTTCTGCTGATGTTACCTCCCAATGCTTGTTGATCCTTGTTTCCCACACCCAGAACCCACCGTTGTACTCTGGGACACTCACGGTCCCTCCAGTGTCACTATCCTCTCCGTTCTCCACTCTCAGCCCCAACTTTATGCTCTTCTAAGAGTGAGTAGTGCTTTGCCCTCTCACACCTGCCTTGCCCACTTTCACCCTTCACCTTCCGACCTTGCTTTCCTACCTTGAAGTCACACTCATCTTCTAAGATCCAGCTCAGAGTCATCTCCAGAAATCTTTTAGAAACTCCCAGACTGACACAGTGCCCTTCCCTGGCCTTCTGCAGTGTCCTGTGTGTAACTGCCTAGCCTGTTATTCAGACCTTGTCTCTAGGTCTTCTACATTGTCAGCCTCTTCATCTTTAGGCAACAAATGCCTGACATGCTAGCCAGTGGGTAGGAGGCCCTCAACAAATGCCTGTTGAACTTCGCTGTATCTAGTGACCGTCTGTTTGTTATAGATCAGGTGCAGGCCAGCTGCTATGCAAGCATTAGCTCATTTAATCCTCACAGTTTTTTGTAAGAAAGGTACTTTTGTCCACAGTAACTGAGATTCAGAGAACTCAGTAACTTGTCCAGTGTCATATAATTACTTAGTACTAGAGGTTCAATTTCACCTGAACCAAATTTGTCTAAATCTAAGGCCTCGTGGGTCTTTTTACCTCACTGGGATGTCACATGTAAGGTGTCTGCATAGGCAGGGATAGAGGCTTAAGCTAAAAAGAGTCCTCTTCCTGAAATGGGTGGCATATGCCTGCAATCCTAGCTACTAGGGAGGCTGAGGCAGGCAAATCACAAGTTCAAGGCCAGCCTCAGCAACTTAGCAAGACCCTGTTTTAAAATAAAAAAATAAAAAGAACTGGGGATGTCCTTCAGTGACAAAGCATCCCTGGGTTCAGTCTCCAGTACCAAAGTGGGAAGCAGGGGGAACATTGATCTCTAATGGGGGAGTTGAGGGCCATCACCAGGCAGTGGGGTGGGGTTTTGGGGAAGGGAGGTTATAAAGCCTTCCCCCTTCCCTTGAGGTTCCTCAGGGAGTTGTCCACTCAGAGGCTGGACAGAGTGACATCTCCCCCCGCCAAGCCCTCTGACTCCAGGCTGACACACCTTGCAGCCTTGGGTGTTCTGGAGGCTGTATTTCTGGCCCTCACTGACTCGCCTTTGGTCCTTGTCCTCTCCCTGTGCCCCCAGCCCTGGCAGAGTCTGGGGAGAACTCACGGCAGGCCCATGTGCCTGGGTGACAATCTGCTGCAGGTGTGCTCATTCCGCCCCTCTGCCCATGGCTCTTCCAGGTGGTGTACTTCACGGCCACATTCCCCTACGTTGTGCTGGTGATCCTCCTCATCCGAGGAGTCACCCTGCCTGGAGCTGGAGCTGGGATCTGGTACTTCATCACACCCAAGTGGGAGAAACTCACAGATGCCACGGTGGGCTCACTGTTTCATTTATAGTGGCCCCTGGGTGGGGGGAACCTTCAGGGATGGGTTTCCCTGGGATGGGGTTTGGCAGAAGGGGTCAGATCTCCTCCCCCAGGGAATCTCACTGTCTGCTTCTACAAACCCCTGATAGTCTTGGCACATTATGCGCTCAGGAAATATTTAATGAGAAGTGGGTAGCTGAGGGTTTTCAGATTCCTGGAATAGTTGTCCTATAGCTGGACAAAGGCTGATAATTAAGAATGAAATCCCTTTGGTAGCTCTAGGCCACTTCACACAACTTACCTGTTATGAATTATAGTGCATATAGTTTTGTTGGTTGGAATATAGCAGCACTTAGGTACACTGCAAGCAGTTCTGTTGCTTTAAAAGCCACAGACACATTTGAATACTTCTTGTACACACACAGAAGATGCATACATGCTTGACCTTTCCCTTTGCGTGTTCAGTACAGGCACATCTTACTCAAAATTCACAGTCCCCACAGCCCCAGATGAGGGGGTGATTGTTTAATGAGAGATGAATTTTTCTCACCTTAAAGAAAACTCTGCTTTTTCAGAGTATGTTAAAAAAACACATAGCTAGGATGGAATTTGGCTGCACATAACAGAAAAATCTCCATCTAATATCAGTTTAAACAAGATATAATTTATTTGTTCCTCATGCACTATGGTGATAGTCAAGGACCTGTTGAGTGACCCCCTGGTGTCATCAGAGACTAGGTTCCTCTCTTTCTACCCCACCATCCTCAATGATCAGCATCCATGTAGCTGCTAGAGCTCCAGTCATCATAACAGCTTTCCGGGCAAAGGGTAAGGGTAGAGAAAAGCACCCTCCTCTTTTAAAGAGGAGAAGCCCCAGAAGTCCAACATAACAATTTACTTTCGGACATTGGGCCAGAAACAAAGTCATGTTATTTTCTTCCCCTAGGTGGGGAAGCTGGACATACAGATGCCCTTAAATCAAATCACAACTTTGCTTCTAGGAGGACATCAAGGAGTGAATGTTGAGGCAGGCGCAGACTTTGCCAGCATGCACTTGAACTTTCTTTGTGCTGATAAGCACAATTTAAAAACAGAATTTAATTTACACAGATGATAGGAAACCTACCATATAAATCACATAAGGCTATAGCTTGAACTCTTGAGTGACCTGGAGTTTTATGAAGACAATCAAGAGGAATTACCTAACAGAACCAAGATGTGGCATCAGCCAAGCTCAGGAAGGATGTGGCACTGTGAGGTCCACTCTCTTGTGGCACCAGGTTTTCTTTACTACCACCGGGGGTCATAGAATTTCAGGTTTTTAATAGCAGTTGTTGTAATCCATAGTAATATCAACTTAAAAGACTTTTTATGACTATATTTTGCTGTTGTAAATTATTCTTCTAAAGAAAGGGCTCTCCCCTTACGTCTGGGTTTATGTGGTGGGAAATATGAGCATGAAATGTGCCTATGGCTTATCAGGCTCCTCCCTTTTGATTAGAGGAAGTTAAAATCTCTCAGGTAATTTACTGGGGCAAGTGAGATATATTTCTCATTTATGTTGGTGTCCAGTGTCATCTTGCCTTGTCTGCCTTTTCCCTGGGAAGATGATGTGCCATTGGGCATGTAAGATGGCCCCTCCCCCAAAGCCAGTCTCCTTCAGTGACCTTGACTCTTCTCTCCTTTGGCCTTCCAGGTGTGGAAAGATGCTGCCACTCAGATTTTCTTCTCTTTATCTGCCGCATGGGGAGGTCTGATCACTCTTTCTTCTTATAACAAATTCCATAACAATTGCTACAGGTAAGTGGAGGCCCTCCCAAGAGCCAAAGGTAGTAGCTGGTGAGTGAAAAATAGGGTTGGGGTAGAACAACTGAGTTATCAGGAATCTGATACCACACCCTCACACCTTACCTGATGTACAAATCTCTAGATTTGCCTCTGGCCTAGGAGAAGCCACCTGCCAAGCCTGGCTGCCAACTTCTGGACCCCAACTTGCATTGCTGACTCTGACACATGTTGGTGGCTCAGTGGCTCTTTAGAGGATGGGATTGAGCCCCTCTGGAGATCGTCATGCAGCCAGCTGCATCCCCTGATGGTCATTTGTGAATTACTATCTACATAATATCAAATAGTAATCAACCACCTACTAAGTATGGTCATCGGTCACTTGACAAATACTTTTTAAGAGACTCTCCACAGGAAAGACGGGATGGTACACTAGAAAGATCACCTTGGAAGTCAGAGTGCACTGGATTATGAATCCACCATTTTATAAACCTCCCGTACAAGGATAGATGCGTTGGTCTTGGAACATCTGTTTCTTATCTATAAAACACACATGATAATATTTTGTTGAGGGGTGAGAGATGTTGTATGCACAGTCCTCAGAGCAATATTTTGCCCATTAGTTGCCAATAAAAGGAAGTATTGTTTGTCATTACTTTAAAAATACTGCATGAGATATTTTATGAAATATTTTGAAATATTCATGATATGTTCGTGAAATATTTATTTATTTTATTTTATAAATATTTTATGAGACATTTTATAAATTATTTTTAAAATACTGTATGAGGTACTTTATGAACCAAGAAAGAGACAGAAAGATTCAAAATGTCCCAGTCTTCACAAAGCTTAGGATCAAGGTGAAGAGGTGTAAGATCATGGGTATGGTTTTAGGTTCAGATTGTCAGACACACTCACTAGACTCAACAGGTTCATGGAATACAAGTTTAGTTGATTTTAAGAAGAGGTATTCAGCAGGGTGCATAGTCATGCACAGCAATAGGCCCTAGGAGACCTCTGGCACTTAGACTCAGCTTTCAATGTCTCAAGCACCTTATAGCACAACTTTGGGAGTAGAGGATGGTGATGAGCCATGTGAGTGCTGCTCATATTAGAGTGGCTTAAACACCTCTGCTCACCTGGTCCTGGGAGGGTGCAGCCCTGCTCCCTTTTGCATGTAGCTGCCCCCACACATTCTAGGTCATGCATAAAGCAAGGCTGGCAACCGGGTGTGGTGAGCTCAGGCTCATGGTTGGATGGATAGTTTTAGTCCATAGCATCTCTCATAGGAATCCATTAACTCACTGGTTAAACTTTCCTTAAGCATCTCTGAAACTACAGGAAAAGATGACAGCTGTGTTGTGGCTGGCATGGTCTGGCACAGCCTTGTGAGGTGAGATTTATACTGGGCTGAATTTCAGCAGGTGCAAAGGGCAAGGGAGTACAATTTCCAAGTGCAGAAGCAGCCTGAGGCAGAAATGGGTAGGAATGAGTGGGAGAGGGGTGTGTGGTAAGTAGGACTGGAGAGATGTTCAAGATTAAGGTGCCAGAACATTCAGTGTCTGGTAAGGGTTCACCAGGGAACCGAGACAGTATCTCTGGAGCTGAGAGTGAGCCATCCCCCACCAAATACTGAATCTTCTGGCCCCTTAAAAAATGGAGTTGGTTAGGTCAGTGGCTGGGTTCTCCTCCTTCATGCAAACATGCATGAACATATGCATATGCACACAAACACATGTTATGCATTTGTCCTTCCCCTGTCCCTTCCCACTCACTTAATGGCAAACTCTGGTCTCTCCCTTCCAGGGACACTCTAATTGTAACATGCACCAACAGTGCCACAAGCATCTTTGCCGGCTTCGTCATCTTCTCCGTTATCGGCTTCATGGCCAATGAACGCAAAGTCAACATTGAGAATGTGGCGGACCAAGGTATGGGGACTTGGTCCCCTGTTATGGCAGGGAGGTACAGGGGTCACCTGACTTTCTGGAACAGGTGGAAGGTGGGGAGCCTGAGTGCGCCTCTACAGAGGGACCAAGACAGACTTCAGGGGGAAGCCCACAGCAGCATGAGTTGACCTGTCTCTAACCAGAGAGTTGGCTTTAAAAAGCCTCATTTCCTTTCCCCTCTCCTCCGTCTTCCCTTCCTTCTCTTAACACCACCCAGCCTGAGTGAGTAAGGTCTCTACCTGTCATACCTGTTAGGTACCAGTAGAGGACTCATTAAGCAAATCAGTGCCCCTGGAGCTGATGTGGGCACAGCCTGCCACAGGATGACATTCCTCTCAGAGGGCTGTGCGGGACCCACGCATGAACACTTAATGAGCACTGGCTTCCGAGGAGCCTTTTCCTTACAAAGCACTTTCCCGATGGTTAGGTCAGATGTGTTCTCGAGGCCTTCTGCTTAGTTAGCAATGTAGACCTGCTCTTTTATTTTCCCCAGTGAGTGGAAAGGTTGGATGATGGTGGCTGGTGGGAGGGGGGCGGGCCTGTGGAATAATTGTTCTCTCTACCCAAGTGTTGCTTGTATTCATGGCTAACATTTACATGGTGCTTTCAAGTTTACAGCTTTCACTTTTATCTTATTTAATCCATATTTCTAGAATCTCATTTACAGAGAGAGCGTTGAAGATTTTTATTTAACTCTTTGTTTTCCACCCACTCTGGCTCTATAAAGGATCTATCTGGGTATTTAGAGGGCTTGGGGGATGGAGGGATTTCACTGTGATTATTGCTTGTCACTATGGTCTTACTCTCTAATTAGGCACTTGTGAGGTGCCTCAGTGTGGAGGGGTTGTGCCAGGTACTAAGGGGCACGTTCCTGGCTCCCCGGCCATCCAGAGGTGAACCTGTGCCAGGATCGTCTGGCAGTCATCTTTTCTACAAGGACCTCATTGCTGTTCTCACATAATGGCTGGGATGTCATTAGAGGAGAGAAGGAAGCTCTAGAAATGTCACCTTTTGGGTGGGCTGATCGATTTCTTCTGGTTCCTCGAGGATAATTAATTGTGGCTTTAATTTGTGCTGACAGAGCCTCAAAGAGTTAAAGAGCAGCTCTATTGCACTGTTGGGGGGGGGGATGTGTGCTTGTTCTCCCTGGAGAGAGTGTGAAGCCCGTGAAACCCGGAGGGATGTTTGGTTCTGCAGCAGTGCGCTAAATTAGAGGGGCCCTGGGAGCTCAGCAAATGCTTTTTCCTGGTTCAGAATTCGCAAACTCCTTGTGAGGCAGAGAGAGGAGGAGGTGAGAAGGCTCTGTCCTCAGGAGTGTCTGAGCCACCCCCAGCTGTCCTGTAACCTCATTTCCTCCCAGCAGAGTTGCTGAAGCAGATGCATGTGCCCCACTTTCTAGCACTTATCCGAGGCATCTTGCTATTTTTTTTTTTTTTTTTGTGACATTACTGAGCTTGTTGGGAACAAATGGCCAAGCTGCCAGAAATAGTAATTTTTTTGAGATGCAGGCCACATAAGTTAACAGTTCTGAGCTCTTTCCTGCCCTCAGAAAGGAATCTGGGTTGGACATGTGGCTCAAATTCCAATAGAATTTTGCTTATTCTCTGTGTGAAGAGCAGCAGACAATTGTCTGTGTTTCTGGAATTTTCCCTTTCCAGTGTTTTTCAGTATTCCTCTGATCTAACAGGGAGAAGAGCACATCTAGAAGGTTCTAGCCTGTGGCACTGATACTTGGTCTTTGGTCCAGAAACAGTGGGCTTCCTTCCCCAAAGGAGAGAAAGCAGTGGCCCATGGGACTGTCCCCTAGATCCCTTAGGGTAGCTGTTTCTGCTCATCTGAACTTGCATATATTCTTATGTGTACTTTACAAGCTTGTTATCTCTGGTATAAAGAAGGCTCTGCAGAATCCAGGTCAGATACTTGGGATCAGACTTGCCTTGAATTTCACCCATATTGTAATATACAACACTATTCGCCTGTAGACACTCAGGATATTTTTTGCTAAACCAACGTTGGTAACTAAGCTTTGGTCTTTAGTCAAAAACAGGTTCTCCTTAATGACCGAACATTATTCTGGTTCATTCACTACTCCCTTCTAAGGGAGGCATTTCTTTCAAAATTATGACCCCAAATCTTGACCACATCAGAATTTGGGGTGGGGGGCTGAAGGTGGTATTGGTGATGATACCAAATGTGCTCTACTTTTATGACAGGCATAGGGAAGGGAGTCTTCCCAGGGGTCTACTCCAGAAATGAACACTCCAGAGGAGACTGCCCTTTGAGAGCCATCTCCTGCCCATCTGTATCGCTGCCTATGGAGCAGTGATTCATTTTCTGACATGAATCCGAAGCTCTACAAAGATGCTTATCCAACAAGCAGAAAGACTGGGTTCAGCTCGAGCAGACAAACCCAATTTTATTTAGAATTCCCAAATATTGATTGGTAACTCCCGAAAAACCGGACTAGGCACATCCTAATAGTTCAGAGATCAAATCAAACACCCTCAAGACTGATTCCACCTCCATCCAACCACACGTACATGCCCTGCATTCCAATCCTTCTGCCCCCAGGCACAGGGTGCAGGTGCTGTGTTCTCAGAGAACTCTCCCCATTTGAGATAAGTGTCACAGCTGAGTGGCCACCCATGCTGTGCTGCGGGTCTGCAGGTATTGCTTTGGCCAGAGACCCATGCTTTGTCTTCAGGGGTGCTCTGCAGTAAGGGAGGCTTTCACTGTGCCATTTCCATAGGCCCTGTCCCCAGAAAGTTACTGGGATGCAGAACTCTATTCATCTCCTGTGACGGGAAGAGTAATAAAGGTCTATGTTTCCTACATCCTGCTATGTCCAGGCATGCTCCATGCCATTTGCTTATATTGACAGATTTCATTCTCACAGAGCACTACAAGGGTAGGGGCTACTGTTATCTTCATTGCTTGAGAAGGAAACTCAGGTTTGCCCAGAGAGGTCAAGTGACTCACCTGTGGTCACCATGGCTATTAAAAAACAGTATTATTTTCTAGACGATTCCACTCCCCAGGCAACATGGGTAAGTGAAGTTTGCTTTAATGTAGCTTGAAAAAAAGTGCCTTCATTTGAGTCCTTTGGGGAGACAGCTGAAATTGAAGCAGGCCTAATATTTTGAAACCAACCCCCCTGGGAAGTAGTAACACCCCAAAGGGTTGAATCCTGTTTAAGCATCCTGCTGAGGTCCTGTGGAAGTGGCCATTTAAGACCTTGTCAGCTTTATGGGACTGACTGTCGTCAGAGCACTGTGCTGGCTTCCTCCTTGTTCTGCATGTGAGACCTATTTTGAACTGTAGTTTAATACAGACTTTTCTTTTATGGTTCACTTAGGGAGCCTTTAGAGTCTGGCCGTACAGTCTGTTCACTAAATGCATAAAGCAGGGGTATTTTAGGCATTTGAGTCTTTATATTTCAAATGCCCTGAGTCCCTAGGCAACATTAGGAACTAATAACCTGATAAATTTCAGTTTTTTTTTTAAAAATGCCATTATGCTTGAGTTATAAAAACTGCAGATGCTGGGGTTTCTGGTTTCCAGATATGGGCTGGCTGTGGGTTATTCAGCACTGGTGTTCACTGGTCTCTGCCCATATCATATCGATTTCTCCTTACAAAGAAACTCTCACCTGTCATGTCTTTGGCTATGGTTGGTCATGATGATCTTTCCAGTGAGACCACAAGGCAGGAGGGGATGGCCACAGAGCTTTAAAGCAGCTGAGAAAACTCTAAGTTGGACAGCTCCCCAGCAGGGCAGCCTATGGGATTCTTCGGAAGCTCTGAATCAGAACCTCTAATTGCCAAGTTCATTGTCTTCCTAATAAAAGCTAATATTATGTGAACTTTGATGATGTGCAGGGGTACTGCACTCAGCGAATCACCTGTATTTTAAAATGTGCTCTTCATAACAACATTGTTGATTGAGTTATTCCCATTTTTACAGATGGGTAAATTTAAGGCTTCTGGCAATTAAGTAACCGACCTAAGTTTGCGAAGCTGGTAAATGGTAGAGTCTGGATGTGGATCAGGTCTGCCTGAACTTTAGGGAGCAAATTCAACCCACACCATGCTTCACCGTCCCTCTTCTTCTTTTTTTTTTTTTAATTTTTATTGTTGGTTGTTCAAAACATTACATAGTTCTTGACATATCATATTTCACACTTTGATTCAAGTGGGTGATGAACTCCCATTTTTACCCCGTATACAGATTGCAGAATCACATCGGTTACACATCCACTGATTTACATATTGCCATACTCGTGTCTGTTGTATTCTGCTTCTTAACGAATTACGGGTGGACTAACATAGCCCCATCTTTACCAAGTAGGGCAAGATCCTAAAGGTGGTGGAGAGATTCATGTTTTATGGGAGTGGCTTCTGTTGGAGAACTGAGTAGGGGGGAGTATAGCTAAGGAGGGAGATATGTCATTCTGGTGATGTCCTAGCCTTTGGAGCGGGGATCTCTACATCAGCTGTTGACATTGGGGTTGGGCAATCCTTTGTTGGCGGGAGACTGGCTGTGCATTGAAGGGTGTCTAGTTGTATCCCTAGCTGTACCCACTAGATGCTGGCAGCCATACTAATCCACCACAGTTGTGAGAATCAGAAATGTCTCCAGACATTGCCAAATATCTCTTGGTGGTGGGGGGCAATATCATCTCTAACTGAGAACCACTGTTTTAGAGGGTAATTATTATAATCATTAAAACGTAATAATCCCACAGAAATGTAGTTTCATATGTTATTTGCATGGAAGACAGCCTGGTCTAATTGGGGAAGCTGGTGGAGATAAGTAAAAAATAAACACAGTGGACTCAGCATAGAAGGAGGAAGAATTCAGGGTCTCCGTGGTCAGAAGGCTCTGGAAAGAGGGACCTGGAGCTGGGCGGGCCTGCAATCATCTGTCTCGTTCCTCCCAGGGCCAGGCATCGCATTTGTGGTTTACCCCGAAGCCTTAACCAGGCTGCCCCTCTCTCCGTTCTGGGCCATCATCTTTTTCCTGATGCTCCTCACTCTCGGACTTGACACCATGGTGAGCCCTTTCCCCTTCTGCCCCTGTCCCAGGTTCCTTCTGAAGACCCTGTTTCCTGGGTTGAGCCAGCAGCAAAGAGGTAGACGTAGGGGTGACTGAAGGCTTCCCCATAGCAATGTAGGGAAGGTGAGGTGCCCGTCCAGGGCTCAGGATTACTTGGCAGTTTTGGGCAGAGGAGTCATCCTCTCCCTTCCTTGCCTCTCCTGGTTCTCCACGCTAAGTTTTAGCCTGCATGTGTCCTGTCTTGGCATCATTTTCCTGAAGTAAATTCCATGGGGGGGCTRGATAAGGGAGAATATTATAAAGTGAATTTTAGGGAAATTGCTGTGGGGCTGAGCATACTGCAAATCATGCTGACAGGTGCTTAAAAGTTCAGTGGTTGGTGCAAAGAGGGTTTTTCCTCAAATAGAAGATCCAATGCAAGGTAACTGGAGGAGAGGAATTTACATCTCATGAATACAAAATGAAGCTTAAAGTGACCTGATGAATGAATATGAGTGTATTCTCCAGGGGCTTGAACGTACAGTTTCTAAAGCTCATATCCTGCTCGAATTCTCCCAGCCGGCTATGTGAGCTGGGCCCTTTTAGACCCATCAAAAGAATACCATCCTAAAAACCAAACCTAGCCCAGATTTCCCTGGGGAGACACGCAAACTTTGGCTTTTGAGGGCCTTCTGAGAGGGAAAGTTTGACTCAGATACTGTTTCTCGACACTGCTCCAGTTTGCCACCATCGAGACCATAGTGACCTCCATCTCGGATGAGTTCCCCAAGTACCTGCGCACACACAAGCCGGTCTTCACTCTGGGCTGCTGCATTTGTTTCTTCATCATGGGCTTTCCCATGATCACCCAGGTAAGAGGCCTGCTGCACACAGGTCTGGGGTGGCCCAGGTGACTCTCTTTCCCTTTACCCTTAATTCTCGGGCCTCACCACCATAGCTGAATCACTGCCATTTTCATGTAGAGGGCACCAGCCGRTTAGGAATTCTGAGTAGAGAGGGAATTATGCCATCTTGGCTACTGATGGTGCTTCTGGCATTTCGTAATTAAGATGTAGCCTTCTTGAGCCAACAAGACAGGTGTGTCCCATTTAAGATRGAAAACTTAAAAAATTCGAGTTGCAATTTACCAACCAGATACATTTCCAAGATATTACTCATCACACAGGCTTCTTCCAGTCCTGAATGACTTGGTAAATTGGACATGAGCTCCCGTAGTATCTACACTGCTCCTGTTGTCTCTGTGACYTTGAGCAAGTCACTRATCTGGGCCTTAGTTTATGTACAAAATGATGGATTGAAATGAGATGCCCTCTAAGCCTCATTGATTATAGGGAGACTTGAAAAGTAAGGAAGAGACACATGGAGATGTGTGAGGACTGCTCAGAGATATCCAAAGGTTGTATGAAGGTCAATCAAACGCAGATACACTGGTGGAAATGATCATGGATTGCTTAAAGCAAAAAAGGAAGCCCTCCGGCTGCTTTCACATATGTAACTCAGATGTTGACTTTGCCTTTGAAAAATAAGGTGTTAAAATACTTTTTTTTTTGTATGCTTTATTGACTAATTCAGAGACTGTCAAGGGGCTGCTTTGTTAACTGGCAAGGGCTCCAGTTTACAACTTGACCAGGTGAAGGTTACTGCTCTTGAGAGAGGGGAGATTCTTTGACTACTGTTTGCACCTGACTCTTCTCAGGATGGAGACAGAACCCAGCTCCTAGACTCATTTTGATGTTGGTTGTTTCTCTCTCCTGTTAGGGTGGGATTTACATGTTTCAGCTTGTGGACACGTATGCTGCCTCCTACGCCCTCGTCATCATTGCCATATTTGAGCTCGTTGGGATCTCCTATGTGTACGGTAAGGGAATCGCTGTGTCTGCTCTCCAGGTAGAACTTCAGTGTCTCTAAGGCATTCCTTGCAAGAAGATTCCCCATATTTAACAAGGCAATTAAGTATTTAATTGCACCTTTTTATCCAAGCTTGTCAGGACCACTGTGATCCAGGTTTAATAGAGAAACAAACAGTAGCTGATGGTGAAACTCTGAAACTTTGTGTCAGAAACTCCAGGGTGATGGTCTTTGGTTATGGTCTGACATGTGAACAGTTAATACCTGTGGACAGTGGCCAGGGAAGGGAGGARGAAGGCCACTTTGTAGGTGTGAAATTATTTCTTGCAATGTCTGCATAGCTGGAGGTGTGGGGGAATTCTGCATCTGGTCTCTGGATACAATCATGAGAACAGAGACCCCTTGGCTCACAGATCCTTAGGAAATTATTAGCACAAGGAGAGCTTGTGACACAGTATCTTAATCTCAGATTTTCCCAGGAATAACTACCATTCCCTTATGATTTACTCATCCTACTGTCACCATAGCAACCTGTATCCCATAATCAGTGGAGCTGTTGTCAAGAACAACGGGAGTGCTGAGCCACCAGATGCCATCTTTGTCCTTTGTGTGAAGGTGTTTGTCYTTGGGCTCTCACCAGGGCGTCTCCTGGACCCTGTCAGTCAGGACAAGGAAGCCCTATTTGATTCAAGGAACTGTTGACTTCTTTGTTTCTGAAAGTCTGCTCAGAACTGTCCCTACACTAAAGCCTCCCTAATATTGATATGGCCACCAAAGCAAATATCAAATAGGTGAAAATTTCCAGTTCAGACTATCTAACTGTATTTCAACTCCCCCAAAGAGAAAGCAACATGCTCTGATCAAAAAGGTGATGCAGTGGTCTCTTGGAGTGCAGTGTGTAAGTGCCCTCAGATGCATCCCATGAAGCCCAGAGGAAGARGGGTCCAGGCCAGAACCAGGGGTACCTGCAGAGTTCTTCCCTTTAAACTGGRGCCCAATAAAGCTCTCCCTGGCTGCCATGTGTTCTTGAGATGAGCATCTTGCTTTTAATGTAATCATTAGTTTTCCACTCAACAGGTGATCAATGGTTTTTTGCTTTCCTGGAAAACTCCTTAAGGTGGAGGAGGATGGGTAGGAATCAAGGAAACCTTGGTACCCCCAAAACGGGAAAATACTGAAGTATTGGTTGAAAGGGAATTTGTCTCCGACTAGATATCATATCCCTAAAAGGAAGAGTTTAGTTCCTGGCAAGAGGAGTGGGTAGGTCTGCCAGCCATCCTGAGGAGATCAGAGACCAACCTGCCAATATGTTTGGCTGAATAGACAGCCTGGACCCTGCAGTAATGCTGTGGTGGAAGATCTGATGTCAGGGTAAGGGTGAAGCGTCAAAGCACTTTCTATCTGAGCAGAGAATGGCAGAAGCCCAGTGAGATCCAGCACAGTGGATCTTAACTGTCTGCCCAGATACYGAAGGGCTTGTCTAAGGCAAAGGGAGGTCTCTGAGGTCCTGATTTGGAAACTCAACCCCTGGTGGGTCCACATACTAATGACATCATCAGATGGTCTGTCGGTAGAGTCAGGAAAGTACTTCCTTTGCAGCGCTGGCTGGCCCAAGTGCAGAGAGAGTTATCTCATTTACCTCCTTCTTTACCTGTTTCCTAACTGCTAATTGCTGCATAAAGTACATTTGCACAGTTCTCTCCTGTAAAATAGGCCTTTTCACTGTAGTTTAAAAGCATCATTAAAATAGAAACCTTTTAATGTTTCTGTTTTTAGAAGTTAAATGGCTTTCTTTCCCCCTCCCTCATATAAATCTGGTAGTAGATCTCTTGGTTTGAAAGGAATAAATAAATCCTGAGGGCTTCAGTTCCTGGTTCATGATGGATTTACAGGAGACAGAAAACCCTGGGTCTTTAAGGGTACGGATACTGGGTCAGCCTCCAGAGTCAGGTTGACTGCGTGCTAGACTCAGGCTAGACTTGGATCTAGATGGAGTTTAAAGAAATAAAATTTCAGGAAGAAATAGTTAATTAAGCTAACAGTTGTCAGAGATGAAAGGAAAAGCCTGCACAAATATRTAATCATATCCCCGAGGACAGTGCACTCTATTGAGATCGTGAGGCCCCAGATCTCGTGGTTAGTGTGAGGCAGTTCAACACAAAACTGTGAAGAATGAGCATGAACCCGATCAATTTGGTGCATCGCCTTCCAGGCTGCAGAATCTTAAAAATAAGCAAGTAAATTGCAGAGATTTGTGTTTTCTGTTTATTTTYGATAGTGTCTACATTCTAGAGGATGCCTCTCAAGCGGTTGATATATGGTGTAGRCAGTTTATTATTAGACTAAAAGAGCTGATCTAAATTCTTAGATTAACATGCCTCAAAGGCCAATCCCCAGGTTGGAGGGACCCAGGGTTAAAGGTAGAACTCCCCAAGTGTGGTATAGGAGTGATCCTTTTAATTGTTTTTTTGGGGGGGTGGTGTGGGGGGGAGGAGGTACCAGGGATTGAACTCAGGGGCACTTAACCACTAAGCCACATCCCCAGTCCTATTTTGCATTTTATTTAGAGTCAGAGTCTCACTGAGTTGCTTAGTGTCTTGCTTTTGCTGAGGCTGGCTTTGTCTTTGTGGTGCTGGGGATTGAACCCAGGGCTTTGTGCATTGGAGGCAAGCACTCTACCAACTGGGCTATACTCCCAGCCCCATGAGGGTGGCTTTGAACTCCCCCTCCTTCTGTATCAACCTCCTAAACCACTGGGATTGTAAGTGTGTGCCTGGCAACTTCAACTGGCTTTTTAACCAAAGGAGAGTCACTTTGAAAAAGTGAAGTGCATGTTTCTGGGAGCCAGCAGGGGACCTTCTGGCTGGAGAAACAAGGTGATTGAACCGTGTCCACTGAGGCATCACACCTACTGACCGCTTGCCTCTGACACCTTGCTAGGTACAATCATCTTCCTCTGTTCTCCACTTGAGTCGGGTGGTGCTTTAGCACCCTACCTCTAGTCTTCTCTCTCCACACCCTGTGAGAATCGTTGGTTTTCCACCAACCAACTTTCCACCCAAAGCGATGGCTTTTACAGGATGGCATGTGTCTTCTTCAGTTCTTGTTGCTCATCCTGCTGGCAGAACTTCATAAGATTTTTAAAGTACAAAACAAAACAAACTAGAACAAAACATAAACAAAGAGCAAACAAAAGCTGCTCCCCCATGAATTCTGAAAATCCAAGCTTCGTTTTTTTTTTTGTTTTTTGTTTTGTTTTTTCTTCATGGCCTCCCCCTACCTGAACTCTATCTTTACTTGTGTTTCAGTTGAAATGACTCTGTATCTACCTCCCACTTCAGGATGTAGGGTTCCCAAGCTCCGTATCCTGGGGTTCAGTATGCATTAGAAATGAGAGACTTCAGTCCATTAATAACTCACACTGGGAATATGTATTTATTAAGTGCTTACTGTGTGCTCCCAGAAAAGGGAGTAGTGAGGGGAAGGGGTGGTTTCTTACATTCATGGCATTTGCTCACTAGTTACCAAGGCAGAGCAAACACACTTAGGACATTAAGAAGGCCAGGGCTAAGCTGGGCACCTGGCTGTGAAACCTTTAACTATCCAGAGATGAAGGAGAGCCTCTGTAGTTAGGAAAACCTTGAGAAGGTGGTGTCTCAGAGATAATAATAAAAAAAAAAAAACAGATAAACACTGAGACTTAGAGAGTGCTAAGCTGAATTCCCCACCAAAGCAGGGAAATCCTAGTTAACAGAGGGATTTGACTCTCAGGGGTAGGGCCTTCACAGTAGCTATTAGAGGAATAATATGGGGGTTTACTTGTCTGGAGCTACACACAGAATGGAGGCATTATTTCTGGGACCCAGCACAAAATGAAAATATGGTGTCTCTTATTAAAAATCATGTAAGAATTTCAAGGTGGTGGTAGTAGAGCATTAAGCAAGGGGAGGGGGGTGTCTTTCTGGGTCCCAGTGAGTCTGCATAGCTCAAGGCCAGAAGCCGCTCTGGCTGCTCCCAGAAGACTACATCCAGGCCAGGGGCAGGGGCATGACTTATCAGCACAAAAGCCCCTAATTACATAAGCACAAGTCTACCCAATCTAGGATTGGTTGTCTGCATGCAGCTTGTTGGGGCTTGGTTTCTGAGTCTCACATCTGTTTGTTGAGTCTAGAATAGTTGGCATGAGTTCAGCTTTTTTTTTTTTTCCTCCTCCTGTTTTTCTGATAATTCAGACTAGTGATTAGAGGTAGTTCAGATTCCTTTGGGGCCCAACTACTTGCTGTCCTATATCTCTAGGCTCAAGGACAGGCAGCAGATAAGTCTTTTGAACATGCTCAAGGCTCCATGAACAATTTGTTTATTGTAAGTTAGGCTTTGAAGGCAAGATGGAATTGGATTGGTGGAAAGCATGGAGCATGCAGGGGAAGCCAAATAAAAAAGGTCTAAGATGAAGATAGCCACTGACTCAGTAAGAGACTCAGGTGGGGACTGGGGTGTGAGCCAGGACATGGGAGGGCTGGGGCTGAAGGGATGGGAGATCTTGACTCAGGAATGGGCATAAGGCAGTAGGGTTGCTCAGTGGCTCCCAACTGGTACCCCTTGGCTGCATCTGCAAGGGCAGCTTATAAGCTGGTAGAACAAGCAGCGATCGCAGGACCTGGAGCTGTCAGAGGTAGAGGCCGGGTCCCTTGTATGAGGTCCAGGGAGGAAGATGAACTGGCCTGGGAGCCCAAGCCTTTGCACTGCCAATCCTGGGACTGCTCCTCTGCATGGGGCAGCCTCTTGCCATCATCCCTCCCTTCTCACAGCTGGGGACCAGTTCTTAGCCCCCTCTGGGAAAACTGAACATTTTTTTTTTTTTAAGAGAGAGAGAAAGAGAGAGAGAGAAAGAGAGAATTTTTAAAAATATTTATTTTTCAGTTTTTGGTGGACACAACATCTTTATTTTATTTTTATGTGGTGCTGAGGATTGAACCCAGTGCCCCGTGCATGCCAGGCGAGCACGTTACCGCTTGAGCCACATCTCCAGCCCCAAAACTGAACATTTTAACCAATATCCCCTCCTCTAGGAGGAGGCTTTCAGCTGTCCCCCTCAGGTCTAACTTTGACCCTGTCATGTCAGTGTCCCCATTCAAGCCACACATCACCATCTCTTGGGGATAGTTTTATGGTGAAGAACTTGGCAACAGGATGAGCTGATAACAGAAATTTCTAGAACCTTACTTTGTCATTTTTGTTTCTTTCATTCCACTGAGATCTGATTTCAGATCACTTGGTTTGCTTTTGAGGGCCTCAGCTTCACCTTCTGTTTCTTTGGTTCTCTCCCTTCACCTAAGCCCAAGGGGCCTAGTGTCTGGTGGTCACTTATCTGATGGTGTTTGATAAAGCACTAAAGGAAACAAATGAGAAAACAAATCCAAAGTTGGCACGGCCCACTATTCAAAACATTCAGTAATTACCGGTAGATGCAAAAAAGCAAAGCAGAGCCTCCTTGCACCATGGACGGACCTCTGGAAAGGCCTTAAGTTGGCTCAGTCTCCTCAATAAACCAATGAAAGATCAGAGAGGGAGGACTTACGTAAGGTCACACAGTGAGTTAGTTGCAGAATTGGGGTTCAAGTTTTAGATCCTAACATACTGATTTCAAATCCTTTGGATATATATCGAGTAGTAGGACTGCTGGATCTTATGGTAACTATTTTTAATTTTTTGAGAGCCTCCAGAAGGTTATCCATAATGGCTATATTAATTTATATTCCCGTCCACAGTGTACTGGGGTTCCTTCTTCTCTGCAAGGAGCACATATCTTGAGTATACAGCTGGATGGATTTTCAGAACTGCTAAATACAAAGGAGCTTGAACTTGGGGGACCTTTACGGTTCCTTTGGCATATTCATTCCACAGATCTGAGAAGGCCACACTTCTGACAAGCTCAGGAAAGAATGCAGGGAACAGCTCAGCTCCAAAACATTTTTCAATGGCCTTTCCTTTCCAGGAAGCTTTCCTAAATTGAGTGGATGCAGGGGTGGTGTTGGGTGGGCCCCAAATTACTGTCACTTCTGCATTTTACTTTATACAGTTGTCCMAGAGGACAGCAGCCCTTTAGTCCCAACACAGTGGGTGATGCCCACTTGGAATTTGCGTTGGGTTTTCCCTGTCATGATTGTCTTGAAAAGGGCAAAGATAACTGGGCTCACTGGAGGAGTTTTATTGGGAGAGTGGGGACATGAAACCAGTGTACAGTGACTCTCACTCTAAATCCCAGGGCTTTTATAATACACTCTGTTTATTGACCACAATCTTAATTGGTTTTGCCATACAAGTCACTAAGCACATAARGCCATCTCACAAAACAGCCTCTTGCACTTGAACATGGCAGGCTGTGGCAGTGCTAAGACACCTGGGTTGGGCTGGAAATGAGCTTTTTAGATGTCATTGTGGGCTGACATTTTTGAACCTCATTGCAGAGAGTATGTAATATCTATTTAAATGTTCAATTTGCCCTAATCTTTCTGGCAACGAGTCATTTGTCTGCTCTTTCCCTGCATAATAGGGGTCATGTTGACACCAGGCTGGGGCCATCCTTAGCCAATGGCTCTCGAGTAAGGGGCTTGAGTGCCTGCCCTCTGCTCTCTCCTTAGCCCCTGCCACTGCACCTCAGACTTGGTCTCTGCTTGTCTATTGCAGGCTTGCAAAGATTCTGTGAAGATATAGAGATGATGATTGGATTCCAGCCCAACATTTTCTGGAAAGTCTGCTGGGCATTTGTAACTCCAACCATTTTAACTGTAAGGATTGCATGCTTTCTCATGCAAATAGCACCTTGCATGTATATATGCAATGTTTGATGTTTGAAAACATGTATGCATGAGTCTGGGAAGCTGGTGGGATGGGTATTATCCTTGTCTTTTAGGTGAAGAAACTAAGGTTCAGAGAGGCGAAATGACATGCCTAAAGGTGCTTAAATGGTCAGGGATTAGTGCATAGGCTTTTGGAGTACCCCTGCAGAACACTGACCCTTCCCTATATCTGTCTGCCTTATGTATTGACAGCATTCATAGCCCAAAGCTGCCACACGCTAACCATGTTTCAGGCTGTGTTCAAGATGCTTTATACATATAGCCTCATTTCCTTCTCCCAGCATTCCCGTGAGGCAGGCATTATAATTAACATCCATTTTTCAGGTGAGGAAACTGAAACCCAGAGGATATGACTTGTACACTAATAATTAGCAACAGCCTGGATTTGAACCCAGGCAGTCTGGCTCCTAACCACTACTCAGTACAGCTGCTGTACAGATAAGAGAGCATTAATGAGATCATTATTGTTCATTTTTATTGCTTTGGAGAACTATCTTTTCATCCTCGAGTGTGAAGATGACATTTTGGGATCATCAGACATTCATCTTTTTAAAGATCAGAACCTTTCATGTGTCAGTAAATCTGCATAGGGGCTTATACTTGCATCTTGTCACCTTTGTTATTGTGCCATAAGCCGTCAATTTCGCCTCGCTTTGCTCTCCAAGCACAGTCATTAACAGAGATCTTGCCCTTCTCCTTTGGCTTGCCTTTCTCCTCTTYGGCTTGGGAGTGTCATGTTGGCAAGGCTAGAGGAGGCAGTTATTTTTGCTTGACCCAGTAGGTGGCAGTAGAAACCAGATTAAGACCTTTGAACGCAGGATACCAGCTTTGCTTATGAAACACAAGACAGGGTGGATGAAAGTATAATCGCAAAGAAAATTTCCTTCCTTCCTTCCTTCCTTCCTTCCTTCCTTCCTTCCTTCCTTCCTTCCTTCCTTCCTTCCTTTCTTCCTTCCCTCCTTCCTTCCCTCCTTCCTTCCCTCCTTCTTTTTTCCTTCCTCCTTCCCTTATTTCTTCTTTCTAGAGTGAAATATAATCATAGTACTTCTTTCTGAAAAGCTAGAAATTTAGACACAAAAACTATTAATTCCCCAGATCAACATCATATCCACATTGGAACCCCTATTTTCGAGGCTGTAATTAGTCTGAATAGCCCCATCAGCTTGGGACATGAATAGGAAAGGATTAAGATAGCTTTCACACCCTTGAGTTCAGGTCTGAGGTATGTGTGAAGATCCTCCTCATTGCTGGGGGCAACACTCCCACAGAATGCCTTCTGCTACCAGAGACCCTCTGGACAGTAGCGTTCCCTGTCTCTGCTGAGCATTGATATTTTCCCAGTTATTATCCCTCATGATTTATTCTTCTCTTTTGCTTCTTCCGATCCTAGAAGAGCTTCAGAGAATTTGATTATATTCTGCAGAAAAAAATACCACAGTAATAACCAGCACTTCTCTGTGTTGAGGTTTATTACAATTTAAAACGTTATCCCCAAAGTCCATGGCCACTCTGCCTGGTGGGTGTTTCTCTCTCCAATTCACAGCTGTGTTCACCAAGGCTTGAAGAGGTTAAGGAACTTGCCCCGGGCTAGAAGGCTTGTAGAGCCAGTGATTGAACCTAGGGCTTTCTAGGCTTGAAGTTCATGCTCTAATACATGTCTAACACCCAGGCTCTCATTTCTGAGTGGAGTTTGGCCAGTTTGGATTAAAACAGTTCTAGTCTTTGTGAACAGAATGCCAGGGAAGAGGAATTATAGGAACTTCTTGTGTTTTTTGAGACAGTTTCTAGGAAATTATGCTATAATTTCCTAGATTTTCATTATATGAATCCTGAGAAAGTTGTGGAGAGGTTTCAGAAAATATTTGAACCAGATTGCCCTTCCGTGTTGTTTGGAAGGTAGGGACAATTTGAAGCAATTGAATCTATTATCACCATCAACCTATGGGTCTCTTTCTAGTACCTTCTTTGGCTGCCATCAGCTAAAGGTCAGGATGATTTGGTGGCTAAATTATCATCTCTAACAGCCAGGCCCAGTGAGGTCCTGATAACCGCCCCCCCTTTTTTAAAAAAATCAAACCTTGCTTGGAAAAGGGAACAAGTTTGGCAAAGAATAAGTTTGTGTCTATAAGTTTGACGTGATATTTGTGTAACTAGAAATGGGTGTCAAAGGACTAAGTCCAACACTTAGTTTTTGCCATTTACCCTTGTGTAAAATGGTTAGTTGTGGTGTGCTAGAATAGGCTAAGATTATGGGTTTAAATTACCTCAGAGCCCCTGAAATAAAATTGATCATTTTTATATGTGCCTTCATGGATTTATAGAGTTATAAATATTCTCCATGCAATTATTGTATACATAGTCAGATCACGTTACTGAGTTATGCACACACATAAGCAGATGTATTGCTATTTATATAGTAAATGAAATGGAGCAGCTTACCATAATTACATTAGGCCATACTTCCAATAGACTGGTTAATAAAGCTTATAACTCTAGGGGCAAATGTTTAAAAGGAGGACTAAAGACTAAAGTAGACATCTCTTTCCATAAAAGCATTTTTTCAACAGTTGTCTTCAGACTCATGTTGCTTTGAATTGGTATATTTAATTATTGTTACATTGAAATAATCACTTGTCCTGGTCATTTGGGCTTTGCAATGATAACATAGATGCCTAGCATTTATATAGTGTTTCATGCTTTTCCAAAATATGTCCAGATATAAATTTTTTTCTGACATAATTCCCTTTGATCTTTTCTGGGGCAGTTATTTTATAGCTTAGGATAAGATGAGAAAGGTGGAATTGAGAAGAGGACTTCAGTGGATGAATTGGTCCAGACTGATGCTGCTGTAGGAAGAATGCATACAAGAGTCACATAATTTTCTCAGGGATATGCCCCCCCCCCACAAAAAAAAGCTTGACCAGAGCAATTAGAAGCCTTGCTCTGTCTTTGCAGGTGCCCAGCATCTGCATCCCTTGCTCCTCTCCAGCTGCACTGGCCAGACCTTCACAGGAACCTCATGGCAGCTGCAGCCAAAGTGGATAGTGACAGGAAATAATGGGAAGAAAATAAATCATGACCTCTCTTAAAATCGAAGGGGGCTCTTGAGTAAATACTTAGACTGTTTTCCCCAGAAAACCCCTGTGCTTTATTCACACTGTGAAATATATCCATTTTATAGCAGAGAAGTCTGAGACATAAAGGTCCCTCAGCTAATTAGTGGAGAACCAAGATTAGCCTTCAGGTCTCTGGGGTCCAGCTGGATGTTGGGTGGTGACGCCCATTCACCTTGAGTCCATTGACAGGGGAGCTGTGCATCTTCTCTCTTTGTCCCACAGCTTATTATAGGTAGGAGCAGGCTTCCGGCTCAGTCACTTCTTGGGGACCGCTTTGGGTCTCATTTAGCGAGCTTTAGAGACAGCTCCTGGATGTGGGCCATTCCCCACTCAAGGAAAAAGCCAAGTAGATTCAAAAAATTTTTTTAAATAAAATGTGTAAATTTAACCATTTTTTCTTTTATAACAAAGCTTTATTATCCACTATAGGAAGTACAGACTACCCCATAGAACCTCCCCTGCCTCACCATCAGTTGCTTTGGTGTGAATCCTTCTGACTTATCCTCTCAGCCTGTCTGTGTGAATATACATGCATACATATGGCTCAGCTCCTAGGGGACAGCAAATGCAGGGGCAGCAGCTAAGTGTGTGTCATCTTCATTTCCTGGAAATTCAGTTTCTTCCTTTGGAAAATTCTGTTTCAGAGTTGACATGGTATAAAATGAGATAATAGATACAAATGCATCCGTCTCATAACAGGTTCAGCGCATGCCTGTTGAAGGAGTGAGTAATCACTTCACTACCCTAATGCATATCTTTTCTCTTTTCTTCCTAGTTTATCCTTTGCTTCAGCTTTTACCAGTGGGAGCCCATGACCTATGGATCTTACCGCTACCCTAACTGGTCCATGGTGCTGGGCTGGCTAATGCTTGCCTGTTCTGTTATCTGGATCCCAATTATGTTTGTGATAAAAATGTATCTGGCACCTGGCAGATTTATTGAGGTAATTCTACCCCCCTCCCTTCCTCTGCCATCCTCTCCCAAGGGAAAGCCCCCTAAAAGCTCTGTGCACTAAAAAACAAAAGATTCAGTAAACTTATTCAAGAGGGAGACTCTGTGATTAAGTGATTACAGTTGCCACTGTTTCTATTAATCCCATTTTTATTATGTATTATTCCTCTAATGGAGGGGCTCAGCCAATCCACAGGCTGAGCTGTTATTATGCTATTCCTCAGTGTGGTGACAGCTCTGGGGAATAAATGATCTGAGTGCCTCCTCCTCTCCCCTCATCCACAATTTAAATCCCAGTGTTTCTTTTAACCACACATCAGATTTCTTCTTTCCTGATGTTCCTCTCTGTCCAAGCCTCCTCCCTCCCGAACATTTATTACCGTTAAGCTTGAAATTACTACCCCTTCCTACTGTCCTTATGTTAGGAATGACTGAGGGTCCAGACTGATTAATGTCAATATTACAGAATGTAGTAAGTTCCGGGATATAAATGGAATGAGGTGAGACTTGTTTTTCTTTATCAAGCAAATCCTTGCTGGACCCATTCCCATTTGTAATGTAGAGTATCCCCGCCTTCACCCAGAGCAAATGGGAAGGGAACTGCTGCTTATTGAGCCACTGTGAAGTATGCTCAGGTTATTTTTGAGAAGCCACTTGCTCAGGTGTGCTAGGAATCAGTCAGCCCTGCCTTCATCTTGAAGGCCTGGCGTTTTACAATAGACCATTGCTACCTAGGGTGTGGGGGAGGGCCCACCAGGGAGCTGGTTGGAAATGTGAACCATCAGGCTATAGGCAGTTCCACTGAACCAAGATCCTGGAGAAAGGGGACCCTGGCATCATCTCCAGATGATTTAGGCACACCTGTCAGTAGAGGGCAGAGAAGAACAGCTGTCTGGGCTTTGCCTTTGGGCAGCCAGAATGATAAAAGGAAGAGGCTTGGGAAGGAAGAAGCAGGACGGAAGTAAGTAAGGTGCACAGGAAGTCCACAACACAGATGTCCACTTATGGGGTGGGGGTAGTTTTTGCTTTTATTGGCCTACAGATGGAGACAGAATTGGTAAGGAGAGGTGTAGGAAGTCTTCTTATTGAAGCAGTACCCCAGTTTGAATCCTTAGGAAACTCCGTTCATTCATTATCCCTTTGAGGTAAATTAACCCTGGCCCCATTCACCCCCAGGGGCTCCCCACCAATAGGCGCAAAGATCTCTTTCCCTCTGAACAGAACCTGGGGTAGCCTCTGCTACTGTTGTCTTAGGCTGAAATTCTCTAAACTGATGAGTCGGCTCTATAAATTTATTATGGTTGATTTGGGATACAAAGGTTGCAAACTGATGATTAAGGGGAGATTAAACTAACAGCTATAAGAACCAGCTTCACTTTAATAGGTAATAAACACATAATTATTCCCTCTTATGTAGTCAGAAATATGTTTTCTTTCCTTTTCCTAGAAAATGTTCCAGTCAAATTATGTTTTCCATAAAAATTTCAGTTGAAGGAGTAGAGACACTCCCATTATTTTCAGCTTTCCTGCAAGAACCAGCACTGCTGAACCAAGTCAGAAGCATATATTTTTGTCAACAGATAATTAAAAATCTCTGCTCACTCTTGGCGATGTATCTTTAGGGTTGGGATTTTTTTTTTCCCCGGTCATTTATATACTTTGGGGAAATATGCTAAAGAAAATCCAATTATTTTGATGCAGCAACCCACTGTTGAGACTACAGAACAAAAGTAATTGAGCACATGTCTTTTTCAGGCTGAATTCAGCAGTGGAGAGGAATCTCACAGATTCCCTTCATTTGGAAGGAAAAAAAAATGTATAATTAAAATCTGGGCCCTTTATCCTCTATTAATCTTATACAAGGCAAACAYGGAAATATTGTAATATCGCTTTCAGGATGATGTAAATAATTTCAAGTGAACCAAGCAGTCTCCTCTCTATTTGTCCCTGATCTAGCTCAATAACAGGGCTGATCTTCCTAACTGCCTGTTTTGTGGGGGGCCTCGTGGCCAAGCAGGGGCTCTGGCAAATGTCCTAAGCAGCTTGGATGGGGGTGGCCCCTAAGGGAGGGAGGTGCATTACTTCTGTAACCATGCGTGTCTTTGACTTCTCCACAGAGGCTGAAGTTGGTGTGCTCGCCACAGCCCGACTGGGGCCCATTCTTAGCCCAACACCGCGGGGAGCGTTACAAGAACATGATCGACCCCTTGGGTACCTCTTCCCTGGGACTCAAACTGCCAGTAAAGGATTTGGAACTGGGCACCCAGTGCTAGTCCAATGCTGTGGGATATTCCAGACTTAATCTTGTTTTCCTGTCTGCCTCTGCCTAAGATTTTCCCCAGCTTTCCTCCCATTTTCCTTCTTTCTCCTCACATCTTGGTTCACAGCCGTGCATGAGATGGTTACATAGAAAAGTAAGGTATAGTGACGCGTGACGCATGCTGTAGTGASAGCCACACAGGCCACTTGGAGCGCTGCTTGCCTGTGTCCATGGTGTCGGTGTCTGGAGGGGTTGGTCCCCTGAGCATGTGCTTCATCATGCAGGGGTGGGTCAACTAGGTGAATGCTGGCTGGTGTGTGTGGTTTGGTCAGTAGACAGACATCCACTGTGTGTTGTCCTTGGGGTGCCAGTCAGGCATGCGTTGAATGGCAGAATTTTAGGACTGTCAATTTGGACTCATCAGCATCGTAGTGATTTCATTCAGACACAAAAAGTTCAGGACAGGGTACATTTAGARGGATAGCAGTGGCCAGGAATTATTTTGGATGCGAGACAAGGCCAGTAGACTCAGATGCCACAAGTGGTTAAGCTCATATTTCTAGTCACAATTGGTCATCTCCTTCTTTCATCTGGACCAGGTGTACCATGAAATCATGTGCTTCACTCTCCACAYATGTTGGATCCTAGTGAAGTGTCTATTCTCTTCCCTCAGTTTTCTTTAAATTCTTTTTAACAACTATACTTGTGAGTACTTTTGGCCATCTCTTCCACCTCCCTCCAAGGAGCCATCCTGTGATTTGTGTCTCATTTCATACGTCACCGGTAGAGCACYATTCTAATTTCTGCGTGACATTAGTACTGTGGTTCAATGTCACATTCCTTTGTTTCTTCTCTTCTAAATGTCTTTCTATAAGCTGTAGATACCTTGTCTTTCAGACTCTGGAAAAATAAAATTTACACTGGTTTGTCTAGGTATTATACACACTGGCTACACACTCTTCAAAGATAATTTCTCAATTTTTACTCTTAACTTTTTCATTCATAGTCAATGCCAATTGTGGTCATGGAGGAATCAAAGAAGTGAAGAGTTTAATAGAAAGCAACCACAATATTCACTGCTCTGGTAGTRTATCTTAGGTCATTGTATTTACAGAAATTTCTGATAAATACAGCTTAGGTAGGTAGTGAGTGAGCCAATTAAGACTATAGCTTTTAAGACTACATTTAGCCAATTCAATTTTAAGAGTTCCCTATTCACAGTGCTCATTGTAACTGCACTCTAATGAGAGCAGATCATGTGTCTGCGGAGATTGGCGAAGCTGTAACCTTTATTATCTTCTTGTATCCTGAACATGCATATATGAAATTTTAAAAATGTGATATGTGCTCATGTAGTGTGTACTCGTAGTGGTGTTTTCTGTCCTTATAAATATCTTATGAATCACTATAGAGATGGTGAGTTTAGAATAGCGTAGTCTGGGTTTTATTTTTTTTCCCCTTACAGTATTAATATCTAAACCTAAGATTGTTTCCTTTAGGGGAGACCATTTCAATCATTTTCTCACTCATTTGTCTTCTTATTACAGGGTCTCAGGCAAAGTTTTCAGTTCAAATCTTGTATATTGGCATGACATTTTCATCCTGTTTGACAGTCATGAAACCCAACAACAGACTTTAATGTAACATTTTGGAGAAGTGACTTCATTTGTATAAAGTGTCCCAACTCATTTTCCTGAGCTCTCTCTTTTCTAGGGCAAATATCATTGCCATGTGCCAACARTGATTCCAACTTCTAGTTTTCCAGAGTGGCCCGTGAAAGGTGTTGGGAAAGGAAACAAAACTGAGTTTTGAAGTGTAGGTCTGCGTGTCTTTCGTTTGCAGTGTGTTCCCCTTGTTCTCCTTTCTTCCCTGTCTCCCAAAGCTAGACCTTGTTGGACTCTATCACAGAGACTAAACCCTGAGCTTCCCCTAATCTCAATTTTAGGAAGCTAAGCTCTGGCCTCACCTGTTCAGGGTTTGCTGTCCTGACCTGTCTGCTCTCAACCCTGATTTTCCCAAGAAAGCCATACTGATGAGAAGCCCCCATTCCCGCACCAGATGTTGTAGAGTAGTAGCAAACATCAGCCTCTACAATTGCTATCGGGCAGAGTGAGAGATGGGGGAGGAATTAGTTAGGCCTGGAAATTGTCTGCAGTCTTTCTAATTTGAAGGTTGAAGCAAAGAGCTTAAATTGATGAACATTCTCTCATGGGATTGATGTTTGTGTCAGGGTGAGTGGGTTTTGGCTTTCCTCTTGCCACTTGGCTAAAATGGAGTACRATGCTGGACACCAATCCAATACCCACCAATTATAGCCGTTGTGATTAAAGAAAGTGGGGAGGGGGGCCTCATGGAGGCTGCCAGGTACAAACTGAAAGTTGACTTAATTCTGAGGATGGAGAACTCCTCATTAGCCAGTATGTTTTGTATTTGGAGGTAGTTATATTTGTGTGCATTAGAATTTTTCTAGGAAAGACCCAGTAGCTGCCCACAGAGCAGCTGGGGCTTCTCTTGTTTCTCTATTTCCTGTGATTTTCAAGTTTCATACAAAATTTGCTTAAAGGGACACACTCAGGTGAAAGATTCTGAACTTACCTGGAAATGATGACCAGGTTGATTTTTATAGCCACGTTCACCTTTGAGGCTCCCCCTGGCAGGGATGTGTTCAGTTCTGAGCCGTCAGTCTTCCTGTATCTACAGTGTTGCACCTCCTGTGGACTGGGCTGGGATGCTTAGAGCTGAGATATGTACCACCAGATGGATCGTTTCCATGCTATTAAAATGCACAGTCACTTGGAAGGAAAAAAAATGAATGAGTAAAAAGAAAATGAATAGCACTGTCATAAACTGCCACCTGAGGGTTTCCCTTCAAATGGAAGGAAAAATGGATTTTTTTTTAGGAAAGACTTTCACTGGTTCACTTGTGCAGAGTGGTGGGTACTTTCCACTTGTGAGATAATTTCATAACACCACAAATGCCAGAAACCCATTCTGAGAAAAACAAGCCATATGTGAAAAATTGTAACCCTATAATATCCTTAAAGGAAGAAGAAAATGTATATTTCTTAACTATTGCTATTGTGGCTTCTTATGCAAATGTTTGTCTCACATATTCGTAACTTTTAATCTAATCTCTTTAGGGTCCTTGTGTTTGTCAAGTCCAAATGTGTCCAGTTCTGGTCTTTTGTAATTGTCCTTTCTTTTTCCTTTGTAATTATTTATTGCATGAAATCTGTGGTCAATGCAAAATCTTGATGACCTCAATATATTTGAAATTTTCAATGTGATTTTAGTATGTAAGACATGAGAGCGATTTGTTTTTCCATGAGCAGCACTTTAAAAAGAGTGCAGCACGAGGATCTTTAAACGAATAAGACTGGAGTTGTCTTTATGCCAACGTGGCTTTGGGAGGTGAATTTTTGTCTGTTTTTGTTCTGTTATCTACGTGTGCCTCAGCCCTTCTTGTCCACCTTCTCCAGTTGGCATGGTTCTSCCATGCCTAATGTTAAGGTTTTTCTTTCCTCTTTGTTCCCTTGGCCATTGGTCTCTGTCCTCTTCCCAGAGGCTAGCACAATAAATGTTGTTCCCTGTACTCAAAAAGGCAGGATCACACCTGGAGTTGAGTCACCATGTGCTTCTTTGAGGCAGATGACTCTAGCAAAGGTGTTCTGCAAGGGAGGGGTGTGTCTTGCAGGGACGAAGGGTCAAGACCAACAAATGAGCGTTTCCTGTGTTTCACACTGGGTATCATGCAGAAAACTTCCAGGCTGGACACAAAGGCAGGCGATTTAGTGTTGATACTCATCCCCCCACAGAGTGACCCTAAGATTTGTGAAAATGAAGCTTCCTGTCTCTCCCAGATTTTGCTTTGGTTGTCCAGAAAGGCCAAGCAATTGTGAAAGGTGRTCTCTGCTGAGTCACTTTTGAGTAGCCTGCAGCCAAAGAGGAAGTGTTTTCAGATTGGCATTCATCACCTCTGCAAAGCAAGCAGTGGTAGGATTTGCCTGCCCTGGATGAAATACATCTTCAGGTAACCATTTGCCTTATAGGTGTATTTTATTGTGAGGGTGATACATAGTAATTGACTAGAAACTGTTTGTCTCTCATTTGTTGGTCTTTTTTTGCACTTTATTATGGACCTATCAAGGAATAGGTGAATTCTTAAATTGTGTACTTGGATAATGTCCTAAATGCAAGCATCTTATGTGGGTACTGTTGCCCATGAATAAAGATATGTTCCCTAATCAGGTCCTTCTATTTTTTCATTAACTGTACATGAAGAAAATATATTATGTTACAAATGATGCATCATATATATATATATCTTATAGAGTACATATTATATACTGTGCATTATTCATTTAAGAAGTCATTATTCTTGAGGCCCTACCTCAAATTTTGTATTTATGTGTRCAAATGCAATTTATTGTATTATATATTTGCCTATTATATACTGATATAAATTAGAATTTATCCTAATAATGTATGAGTCCACAAACCCTAAATAAATGTCAGTGTTTAAAACATGATGATTGCGGTATTGTGTCTGTTACAAAACCCTTACCCACCACATTTTTTTTTCCTTAACAGAAGGGCTTCAGGTATCCCCAGGATTGATCTATTTTATTGTGCAAAACCTGGAACAACCGTGGAAAATTGCCCTCCTGGGAAAATGAGAGATTGTTGTGCTGCTACAGAAACAAATATCAATTAAATTGTTATATTCTTAACCATCAGAATGCACTGTTGTTTGCTGAATTATTAATTACTCCTCATGGGGAAGAAAGCAAGAAAATGAGAGAGAGGAGAGGGGGAGGAGGGAAGAGAAGGGAACAGTGAGAGAGAAATGGGAATGTGAGTAGATCTGAGATCTGAACAGAAGGACTGGGCCTTGTGTTTTGATGATTATTTTTGTCAGTTTTCAATTCAGCTTTATTTCAATTTAGCAAACATCTACATAGCTCCTACATAGTGCTAGGCCCCAGGCAAAATTGAATAAAACAGTCCCAGATCTCAAGGAACTCAGAGCCTGGTAGAAAGACTACCCATATTAAATCATCAAACCTATGAACAAATGCCATTTCTCTCCTTTTGATTGGGTGGGATCCCCATGTTCTCTGCCTGGAGATGGGGCCTTGTGGTCCTGTGTCATGACCTCTCTCATCTGATCATGTCAACACAGAAGCCTAACTCTGTCCTCAAATGAACA